ATCATGTCTTAAACAGCCCTGTCTTGTCAGTTGTTGCTGCTTACCTGTTTTATTTCTGTCTCGGGGGTATTTGTGCAGAGTCCCTTACAGTTAGTTACATTGTATGAAAGTCACACAGCCACAGTGACATTTAAGCACAGGCCCAGCGGTCTATATTTTTAATAAATGTATTAATTTAAAAAATGTTTTTAACCCTTGAGAATCAATGTATTCCTTAGGAAAAATAAATAACAAAGAAACAAAGCTCCAAGGTATGCCTAGAATTACTAAGAATGTTAAAGAATTGTTGGATGGTTAGGAGGAGGAAGAATGTACCAGAAGGGCGCATCTACGGCAGAATTCTAACAGAATGACACTCAGTCTCCTGGAAGATAAGAACATTTCCAAGTGCCAGTCCACCCAACAGACAGGAAACAAAATGAGTTATCTCCCCCGTTCCTTGCCTTGACGTGACTCCCATTATTGTAAAGAATGGCATATGCTGCATTCAATCCAAGTTACATCTTTTTGCTTACACAACAAATATGGACTCACAGATGCTGAGTGCTAAAGGTATGTAAACCTAACAACGGAGGGCAGCGTTTCCCATTTTGCTGACGCGACCAGAATGCTGTGGCCTGTACAGGGAACAACTGCGTGGCGTTACTCGGAGACGGAGCTGCACCCACCATCTGTGCCTGCTGGGCCTCAGGCCCAGTCTTCTTCCATCGCTACCTCGTTTCTCCATGAGAGAGGGCATCAAAAAACACTTAGAAACTGCAGCCACCGTGTCCTTTACTGACAGAGCAGTATCAGCATCAGTGTCATGGTACAGGATCACGTTATTGGCCATGTCAAAGCTTTCCCAGCATCCCGTATCAGAGGGCCAGTTCAAGTCCTGACTGCTCTGCTTCCAATCCAGCTCCCTGCTAATGTGCCTGAGAAGGCAGCAGAGGCAAGCTCAACTACTTGAGCCCCTGCCACCCATGTAGGATACCAGATGGAGTTACTGGCTTTGGCCTGGCCCAGCCCTGACCTTTACGGCCATTTTGGGGAGTGAACCAGCAGATGGAAGATCTCTCTCTCTCTCCCCCTGCCCTGATAACTCTAATAAATAAAATAAATATTTAAAAGCAATAAATAAAAGAAGCAGAAACAGGACTACATCCCAGGCAGTACCAAGTGGTGGTTTAACCCACTGTATCACAACACCCCCTTGGATATATTTTCAGAAGATGAAGTCAGGAGTTGAATATTCATTTTATGTTCTTGTATTTCTCAATTTGTCACTATCATCAAGTATCACATTTTTATTTATTATGAAATTATAAAATATGCACGCACCAGTTATTGTTCGCGTAACTACATGTTATACAACAGTTCACACAGAAGCAAAAAAAATAAATAAAAAAGGACAATCCATAGTGATAGGTTCAAGTAAACTCGGTTTTTTATGGAAAAAATGTATGTGAATGTGTCCAGGGTTACACTTAGAACTGTATAAACACTGGATGAAAAGAAATGAGGATTTATTCCTAGGGTATTGGGATATCCTTGTCATTTATGTCTAACATGCAGTACCTTGTTTTATGAAAAACTTGTGCGCACCATGGATATTTCTGAAATGAAGGGGAAGGAATAGGAGGGCTGTTTAACGGTAGGGGAAGAGCTCTGTTCTGATCCTATGTGATCAAACCACAAAAGTGGTAGCAAAGGGGCCAGTGCTGTGGCATAGTGAGTTGAGCATCCGCCTGCAGTGCTGGCATCCTATAAAGGCTCTGGTTCAAGTCCCAGCTGCTCCAATTCCAATTGAGCTCCCTGCTAATTACCTGTGAAAGCAGTGGAAGATGGCCCAAATCCTTGGGCCCTTGCGCCTGCATAGGAGACCTGGAAGAAGCTCCTGATTTCTGGCTTCAGATGGGCCCAGCTCTGGCCATTGAGGCTGTTAGGCAGGAAGTTAGGTATGAGCCTATGTGTGTGTGACAAAGGCCTCCGGAGAAGACTTCTACGTCCAGCATATGCATCCACATCTCAAAGTTATCCCGATAATGCTTCAGGGGCAGCCCAGTGTTCCCATCCTGCCCTGCCCCCTTCTACCTGATAACCTGCCAGGCGGAGGTCCCCACCCCTTCTGCCTGACAAATCTTCCACAGTCTCCCAGATGCAGCCCAGTATCTGCATTTCAAACACCCTGCTCTGGATCCCAATTCTCTAGGGGGTCCTGCTCACCCTTCCTCTGAACCCAGGATGGCGCCAGCTAGGTTTCCTCCTGTCTGATGCCTTCAGGGGAAAACTCAGATAGGAGCTTCTTAATATTTACAGCCATAAAATCCTTTGTTTCAGGAGAAATGTGTGAAGACAGAGACCCATCTCCTTAAACACCCCCTCACGCCCCCACCCCCGGCCTCAACCGGACTGGGCGCTCAGCCCTCTGCCTCTCTGCTGAGCCGCCCGCCTGGTCTGGCCAGGTGTAATCTCTGCACTCTCTCTCAGGTCCTGTCTGGAGAGGTGCCCATCCGTTCTTATGGATGTCCCTTCCCTAATAAACTTTGCTACTTCTACTTTCCACTACTCTGTCTCACGCCTGAACTCTTTCTTGCGCGAAGACAAGAACCCTGCCATTTCTCCGGTAACACTATCAGCCTCATTTTAAAGTCCCATCTCAGGGCCCACACTGTGGCACAGCAGATAAAGCCCCTCTGCCTGCAGTGCCGACATCCCATATGGGTGCCGGTTCGAGTCCCAGCTGCTCCACTTCTGATCCAGCTCCCTGCTAATGTACCAGGGAGTGGATATCAAGGAATGCCTGTAGTTAAAAAGGAAATAACGCGTAAATAATAAAATAATTATAAATAAATAATAAAATAAATAAACACATTTACTTAAATAAATAATAAAATAAATAAATACATAAGGAAAAGAGGAGAGGGGAGAAGGGAGAGAGAGGTACCAGGAGAAGGGTCATCCACCTCAGCTGGGAGCTTTCTTGCAGGGAAGGTATGCAAAGCCAAGATGCCAAGACCAGGAGAGGGAGGTTAGCTCTGAGCGCCCCCTACAGGTGGCATTGCAGTGGTGGATGAAAGCAGGTTGTAAGGCCACCAGGATGATCCACTCTTTCTCAGGGCCTCCAAGGCAGGCAGGGGCAGGGGCAGGGGCAGGGGCTCTAAACAGCGGCAAGGTCAAGGTCCTGAAGGCAGACGCAGCTCCCCGGGTAAAGCGGGAGCTCTCCTGGTCTTTCCCTGGCAGCTCCAGACTCCCACGCGCCCACAGCCTCACCTTCCTCCAAGGGCCTGCCACGCTCACAGGCATTTAGACTTCACCCTCTTTTCTGCCCTCCTCGACCTTCTCTTCAGCCTCAGGGCTGTGAAGTCCAGCAGGCATGGTGGGGTCCAGCACCTTCCCCCTCCTCTGGTGCTGCTGCCAGTGAAAGTGAAACTCAGACAGGGTCAGGGTCAAGGTCACTCCGAGTGACAGCGGCAGAGCTGAGGATGGAAGCCAGCACTCTTTTTGTTTTTACATTTATTCATTTTGGAGGCAGAGTGACAGAGAGGGGGAGACAGAGCTCTTCCATCTGCTGGTTCACTCCCCAAATGGCCACCACGGCCTAGGAGAGCTGGGCAGAATCATAGCAGCTGGGAATTGAACTAGCACTCCGATGTGGGATGCCAGTGTCGCAGGCAGCAGTTTAACCTGCTGTGCCATACTGCTGGCCCTGGAAACTGGCACCCTCGATGGGACAAACAATTCCCTTGTACACAGACACAGAGTAAGCTCTTCAAGGACAACCTTGGTCCTACCGGGCGGAGAGACAGCCACCCCTGATGGGCGTGGTGGGAAACAGGACCCACGGGGCCTCCAGACTGTTCCTATCAGGCACTCAGTGGGTAGACCCCACAGCCCAGCCTCAACCGGACTGGGCGCTCAGCCCTCTGCCTCTCTGCTGAGTCGCCCACCTGGTCTAGGCAGGTGTATTCTCTCCTCTCAACATGTAACCTCGCTCCTCCCTCCCCCCCCCCCCCACTCCGCCCAGTCTCTCAGGCTCTGTCTGGAGAGGTGCCCATCCATCCTTAAGGATGCCCCTTCCCTAATAAACCTTGCTATTTTACCTCCCAGTACTCTCTGTCTCACGCCTGAATTCTGCAATTTCTCCGGTAACAAGGCCATTTGGGGAATGAACCAGTGGAGGAAAGATTCTCTCCCTCCCCCTCTCTCTTTCTCTCTCTTCCTCTCTCTGTAACTCTTCCTTTCAAGTAAATAAATATTTTTTTAAAAAGTGGTAGTAAAAGTAGCAGGTGGCCTAACACACTGTGTCACAACACCTGATCCCCTGATTCCTCCCCCCACCTTTCCACTGGATTCCACACGTACATTCGTGCTCAGAGGTACACACACACACACACACACACACACACACACACACACACACACACACAGAGGATGTGAGCTCTGTAGGCCGCACACTGGATACCTAATGGGGACCACCTGACCAGTCCTGTGGGGCCTGCACTAAGGAGCCAAGCAGCTGCTTCCAGTTAGGCACCTGGTCCAGCAGCAGTGGCTCTCAAGCACTACTGCAGTAGATGGCGCCAGGCCTCCAGAGGGTCTACCGTGTGGGTCGGGAATACGTGTCTCCAACAAGTCCCCAGTGATCCGGGGACTCCAGTTTGAACGGCACTGGCTTAGTGTCTGGATCAGCACGTGGAGGCGGCCCCTGCGGCCTGGGAGGTGCGTGAGGCCCTTGCACCCCTGAGACTGGGTCCTCAGCCCCACACCCTGACAGCACAGGATGATGGCTACGCTCTGAGCCGGGGGAACAGGGCCCACTCCCAAAGCCCAGGGTGACATGTGACATTCTAGAAATGACAGCTGCAGAGAATTTGCCATTTAGACCCTAGAATGATTTCAGAGTCAAAGAAGAAACAAAACTGCAGCAGCCCAGGGCAGGTTTCCCGCAGAGTGACAGTAGGCAGGCTTGTGCCCACAGAAGCACACCCAGCTTAGTGGCTTTTTTTTTTTTCCAGACCCCAAGGGTGGGAGTGTGGTGCAGCGTGGTGTTTCTGGAGCAACACTGCCACCAAGAGGAATGTCTCACGAAGTCTCAAGCATGTGAGTAAGCCAGACGGGTCTTCCACATGGTGGTGGTGGTGGGGGCAAGAATAAGAGGCCCAAGCTTGTGTTACAGGCAGGGGCTTTGTCTGCTATGCCACATGCCAGCTCCAGAAAAAAAAAATTAAAAGTTTATTTTATTTGAAAGTCAGAGTTTGCAGAGAGAGAGGGAGAGAGAGAAAGAGAGAATCTTCCATCCACTGGTTCACTCCTCAAATGGCCACAACAGCCAGCCAGGGCTGGGCCAAGGCAAAGCCAGGAACCAGGAGCTTCATCTGCATCTCCCATGTGGGTGCAGGGGTGCCAGGACTTGGGCCATCTTCTTCTGCTTTCCCACACACGTCAGCAGGGAGCTGGATCAGAAGCAGAGTAGCCGGGACTCAAGCCAGAGCTCATATAGGAAACCAGTGCTGCAAGTCATGGTGACGCCGGCATCCCATATGGGCACTGCTTTGTGCTATTGCTGCTCCACTTCTGATCCAGCGCCCTGCTTAATGGGCTGGGAAGAGCAACGGAAGATGGCCCAAGTGTTTGGGTGTTTGGGCCCCTGCCACCCACATGGGAAACCAGATGAAGCTTCAAGTTACTAAACCTCTCTTGGTCTCAGTTTATTCATCTGCAAAATGGGGTGGTTGTACGCATTAATGGAGTAATACATGGAAAGTATGCATACTACTTCTTCTTGCTTCTGGCTCCAGAACCCTTTTTGTAGTTCTCCCAGAAATGACATGGAATGCTAGGTGCAGACACGTCGTGGTGCAGTGCCTTAAGCCACCACCTGCGGTGCTGGCAACCCATATCCAAGTCTTAGCTGCTCTATTTCCCATCTGTCTCCCTACTAATGCACCTGAGAAGGCAGTGGAAAATGACCCAAGTTCTTGGCCCTTGCCACCCACACGAGAGACCCCATTGGAGTTTCTAGCTCCTGGCTTCAGCCTGGCCCAGACCTGGCCATCATGGCTATTTCAGGAGCGAACCAATGGACGGAAGATGTCTTTCTCTCTGTCTCACTCTTTCAAATAAATAAATAAATCTTTTGCTAAGTTGAAATTCCATTTCAAAAAGTTCATGGAAAATGGAATTTTAAAAAATGAATTTATTTTGGTACCAAAAATCTTTTAAAAGACTTATTTATTTATTTATTTGAAGGCAGAGTTACAGAGAGGCAGAAGCATAGAGAGAGAGAGAGAGAGAGAGAGAGAGAGGCCTTCCATCCGCTGGTTCACTCCCCAGATGGCTGCAACTGTGCTGATCCGAAGCCAGGAGCCAGGAGCTTCTTCTGGGTCTCCCACACAGGTGCAGGGGCCCAAGGACCTGGGCCATCTTCTACTGCTTTCCCAGGCCATAGCAGAGAGCTGGATGGAAGTGGAGCAGCTGGGACTTGAACTGGCGCCCATATGGGATGCCAGCACTGCAGGTAGTGGCTTTACCCACTATGCCACAGAGCCAGCCCTGCCCTATTATATCTTAGGCTAATAATTATAAGCAAAATGCTGCTCGGGTTTTTGTGTGTTTGTTTTGATAATTATTTATTTATATTTGGAAGGCAGAGACGCAGAGATCTTCCATCTGCTGGTTCACTTCCCAAATGCCTGCCACAGCCAGGGAGGGTTGAGCCAGGTCGAAGCCTGAGCAGTAAAAGACGACCCAGGTCTCCCACAGGATGACAGGGATCCCAGTAATTGAGCCAGCACCTGCTGCCTTCCCAGGATGTGCATTAGCGGGAAGCTGAACAAGGAGCAGAGCCAAGACTCGAACCCAGGCCCTCTGCTGTTGGATGTGAGTCCCAAGGAGCATCCTGGCTTGCCAAATGCCTGCCCCTGCGCAGTTTATACAGACATTGTTTAACCTCCCCTTGATGAAGCAGTTCTGGTTCTCCCTGAGCTAAAGAAAAGACATCATGGATTTCTTTTAGTTTTCTTATTTACAAGGCAGAGATACAGAGAAATAGAGATCTTCCATCAGCCGGTTCACCTCCCAAAATGTCTAAAATAGCCAGGGCTGGGGCCGGTGCTGTGGCACAGTGGGTTAATGTCCTGGCCCGAAGTGCCAGCATCCCATGTGGGTGCCGGTTCGAGACCCGGCTGCTCCTCTTCCAATCCAGCTCTCTCGTATGGCCTGGGAAAGCAGTAGAAGACGGCCCAAGTCCTTGGGCCCCTGCGCCCACGTGGGAGACCCGGAAAAAGCTCCTGGCTCCTGGCTTTGGATCGGCGCGGCTCTGGCCGTTGCGGCCACCTGGGGAATGAACAGTCGAATGGAAGACCTCTCTCTCTCTATCTGCCTCTCCTCTCTCTGTGTAATTCTGACTTTCAAATAAATAAATAATTAAAAAATATAAAATAGCCAGGGCTGGGCCAGGCCAGAGCCAGGAGCCTAGAGCTCCCTCTGGGTCTCTTCCCAAGTCCCTGAGCCATCATCTGCTGCATCCTGGGATGTACATCAGCAAGAAACAGGCTTGGAAGTGTGGAAGTGGAGAGCTTGGGACTCGAACCAGGTAGTCCCACGAAGGATGTGGGTATCACAAGTGGCAACTTAACTGCTGGGCCAAACACCCACCCCCCATGACAGCCCTTAGACTTGCTTGATATGACCCCAGTGATCTTCTATTACTTCTTTCTTTTTTTTAATGATTTATTTGAAAGGCAGAGTTAAAGAAAGAGAGAGTCAGATAGACAGACAGATAGTCAGAGATCTTCCATCCACTGGTTCACTCCCCAAATGGCTGCCATGGCCAGGGCTGGGCCAAGCCAAAGCCAAGAGCCAGAAGCTTCATCTGGTTTCCCATGTAGGTAGCAGGGGCCCAAACACCCAAACACTTGGGCCATCTTCCGTTGCTCTTCCCAGCCCATTTTAAGCAGGGCACTGGATTGGAAGCAGAGAGGCTAGGGCACAAAGCAGTGCCCATATGGGATGCCGGCGTCACCATGACTTGCAGCACTGGTTTCCTATGAGCTCTGGCTTGAGTCCCGGCTACTCTGCTTCTGATCCAGCTCCCTGCTGATGTGTGTGGGAAAACAGAAGAAGATGGCCCAAGTCCTGGCACCCCTGCACCCACATGGGAGATGCAGATGAAGCTCCTGGTTCCTGGCTTTGCCTTGGCCCAGCCCTGGCTGTTGTGGCCATTTGAGGAGTGAACCAGTGGAAGGAAGATAGCTCGCTCGCTCTTGGGCCATCTTCTACTGCTTTCCCAGGCCACAGCAGAGAGCTGGATTGGAAGTGGAGCAGCCGGGTCTCAAACTGGTGCCCATGTGGGATGCTGGCAGAAAAAGTAGCAGCTTTACCCACTCTGCCACAACGCTGGCCCCTGTCCCTAGTTTTGCTTCATTTTTATCTATTCGGCTGTCACAGTAAGTTAAAGCCTCCTGCTTGTTGCGTATTTACAGATATACAAAGAACCTAGAATGAGATGTCAGACTTGTGATAGTGGTGGATTTTGTTCTTTGCTGCTTGTGCTTGTCTGTTTCCTATAACATACATATTTACTTTTAAAAAAGATTTATTTAGGGGCCGGTGCTGTGGCTCACTTGGTTAATCCTCCGTCTGCAGCACCAGCATCCCATATGGGCACCGGATTATTTCCCGGTTGCCCCTCTTCCAGGCCAGCTCTCTGCTGTGGCCGGGAGTGCAGTGGAGGATGGCCCAGGTGCTTGGGCCCTGCACCCCATGGGAGACCAGGATAAGTACCTGGCTCCTGCCATCGGATCAGCGCGGTGCGCTGGCCGCAGCGTGCCAGCCTCGGCGGCCATTGGAGGGTGAACCAACGGCAAAGGAAGACCTTTCTCTCTGTCTCTCTCTCTCACTGTCCACTCTGCCTGTCAAAAAAAATTAAAAAGATAGTGAAATCCGTATTTTTTCATAATACACATTTGCACGAGTTTTTGGAAAATTTCTCCTAGGCATGCATTTTTAAAAATTTTTATTTGAGTGGCAGAGGGGGAGAGAGAGAGAGAGAGAGAGCAAGCGAGCTCCCATCTGCTGGTTTACTTCTCAGATGCTCACAGTGGCTGGGGTGGCTGAAGCCAGGAGCCAGAACTCAATCCAGGTCTCCCATGTGGGTGGTAGGAACCCAATTAATTAAGCCAGGACTGCTGCCTCCCAGGGTCTGCATTAGGAGGAAGCTGGAGTCTGAGTAGGAGTGGGGAATTGAACCCAGGTATTCCAGTGTAAGAAGTAGACATCGTAACCTGTGGGTTAACTTGTAGGCCAAATATCTTCCTCTCAAAGATTTTTCCACTAGGGCAGGCATTTGGCCTAGCAATTAAGATGTCAATTAGGTGGGCGCCGCGGCTCACTAGGCTAATCCTCCGCCTTGCGGCACCGGCACACCAGGTTCTAGTCCCGGTCAGGACACCGGATTCTGTCCCGGTTGCCCCTCTTCCAGGCCAGCTCTCTGCTGTGGCCCGGGAGTGCAGTGGAGGATGGCCCAAGTGCTTGGGCCCTGCACTCCATGGGAGACCAGGATAAGTACCTGGCTCCTGCCATCAGATTAGCGCAGTGCGCCGGCCGCAGTGCACCGGCTGCGGCAGCCATTGGAGGGTGAACCAGCGGCAAAAAGGAAGACCTTTCTCTCTGTCTCTCTCTCTCTCACTGTCCACTCTGCCTGTCAAAAAAAAAAAAGATGTCAATTAGGGGCTGGTGTTGTGGTGTAGTGGGTAAAGCCGCTGCCTGCGGTGCCAGTATCCCATATGGGTACCTGTTTGAGTCCCGGCTGCTCCACTTCCCATCCAGCTCCCTGCTAATGCTCCTGGGAAAGCAGTAGAAGATAGCCCAAGTCCTTGGGCCCCTGCACCCACGTGGGAGACCCGGAAGAAGCTGCTGGCTCCTGGCTCCTGGCTTCAGATCAGCCCAACTCCAGCCATTGTGGCCATTTGGGGAGTAAATCAGCAGATGGAAGATTCTCTCTCTCCTTCTCTCTCTCTGTAACTCTGCCTTTTAAATAAATGAATGAATCTTTTAAAAAATAAAAAAGGTATCAATTATGATGTCCCATGTGAGTTCCCAAGTTTCATGTCCAGTTCCAGCTCCTGACTCCAGCTTCCCACTAACGGAGACTCACAGACAGCAGTGCTGGCTCAAGTTTGGGTTCTTGCCCCTCATATGAGAGACCTGGATTGTGTTTCCAGCTCTAGGCCCCAGCTGATGGTGGCTGTTGCAGGTATTTGAGAAGCAAACCAGAGCTTGTGTATCTCTCTCTCCCTCTCTTTCTCCCTCCCTCCCTCCCTCCCTCTCAAATAAATAAAAATGAAAGGCCAAGATCTTAGCACCAAAATCAACCTGTCTTTTAATTCCATTTGCCATGAACTTCTGGAATTGCCCTGGTGTACCGTTGGGTGCCACTGGTTTTCAATGCCCCCCCCCCCCGCCCCCGCTTTTCCAGGGCAGGGTCCTATCTTAGTCACCATTGTAGCCCCAGGCCAGGCACAGGGTAGGCTCCCAGGAACCCTCTGCTCAGTCTGTAACACATCAATGTAAAGCAGCCTACGTACACAAAATAATAATAATAAACATTTAACCAGCCCAGCCGGAAGACAAACATGTATAATTGTCTGTAAGTTTAATTATGTTTTTAAAATTAATTTTAAAACATAGTTTATCTTTTTTTTCTAAAATGTATTTATTTATATTTGAAAGGCAGAGAGAGAGAGAGAGAGATGGGAACAGATAGAGATCTTCCATCTCCTGGTTCACTGCCCCAAGGTCTGTGATAATTAGGGGTAGCAGAGCCCCAAGTATTTGAGCCATCACCTGCTGCCTCCCAAGGCATACATGAGCAAGAAGCTAGAAACAGAAGCCGGCGCCGTGGCTCAATAGGCTAATCCTCCACCTTGCGACGCCAGCACACCGGGTTCTAGTCCCGGTCGGGGCGCCGGATTCTGTCCCGGTTGCCCCTCTTCCAGGCCAGCTCTCTGCTATGGCCAGGGAGTGCAGTGGAGGATGGCCCAGGTGCTTGGGCCCTGCACCCCATGGGAGACCAGGAAAAGCACCTGGATCCTGGCTCCTGCCATCGGATCAGCGCGGTGCGCCGGCCGCAGCGGCCATTGGAGGGTGAACCAACGGCAAAAGGAAGACCTTTCTCTCTGTCTCTCTCTCTCACTGTCCACTCTGCCTGTCAAAAATAAAAAAAAAAAGAAGCTAGAAACAGGAGCAGAGCCAAAACTTGAACCCGGGTACTCTGGTATGGGATACGGGCATCCCAAATGGCGTGTGCCTTATACTTTTAATTATATCAGAGAACTCACGGTTAATGGGAATTATCCAGTAGTTCTTAGGCGAGCTTTTAAAATGATGCACCCCTATAATTTTCACAACTTTTGATGCACAGTCGTCTCACCTTCTCCGGGGTTTTACTTTGTGCAGTTTCAGCTACCTACAGACAATTGCACCTTGAAAGTATTAAATGGAAAGTTCCAAAAAAACAATTCATATGTTTTTGCACACTGTTTTGAGCAGCATTATGAAATCTTGTACCACCCCACGCCATCTAGCCCAGGATATGAGTCATCCCATTGTCCAGTGTATCCATGCTGCATACACTACCTACCCATTAGTCCCTTCGAGCTGTCTCCGTTATCAGACTGACCATCATGCTACTGCAATGCTTGGGGTTCAGGTAATCCTCATTTTATTTAATAATGGTCCCAAGGCACCAGCACAGTCATGCTGGTGATTTTATTACAGAATAATTTTATAATTGCTCTATCTTGTTATTATTTATGTGTGCTATCATAGTTCTGGTGATGAATACTGCCTAATTTATCAATTAAACTTGATTATGCATATGCAGGTATAGTGTCTGTGCTTTCAGGAATTCCCTGGGGGGTCTTGGAATTGAACTTCCACAGACAGGTGGAGACTACTGGACAAGTAGTGGCTGTTGACAAGCTTGAATGTGAAGCCCTTCCGCTACAGAAACCCAAACCTGCTGCCCTCTCTTCTCTACTTCACCCCACCAATGGATAGGAGGCCTGAATTTATAAAGTTTTCTCGACTAACTGTAACCAGTAGTATTTGTACTAGTTATCTACGGGCTGTTACAGATTAGCCTCAAAACTTAGCTAGTGGAAACCGCCTGCATTCATCATCCTGCGTATTCCTTGAGGGCCAGGCATCCGGGAGTGCCTGGTCTGGCCGGTTGTGTAGCAAGCTGTCCCGCGAGGCTGCAGTTGGGATGGACGGTGTTGGGGCTCTGGTCCCACTTGAAGTCTCACTGGAGCATGAGGATCTAAGCTCACTCACATGGCTGTTGGCAGGAGGCTTGGGCTCCTCGCCATGTGGGCCGTTGCCTAAGGGCCGTTGGATGCATCCTCACAGCATGACACCTGGCTTTCCCCAGGGCAGCTGATCTGAGAGAGGCACAAGAAGGAAGCTGCAAAGCCTTTTATGACCTGGTCTTGGAAGGTGTGTGCTGCCAGTCATTGCCACTGGGTTACAATGGTCAAGGCAATTCTCAAAGGGCGGGGGATGAAGCGCCATCTCTTGAATGGAAGGGTACCAAGGAATCTGTGGCCAGATTATAAACCCATATCTCACCACGTCGCAAGCTAACTGTAATGTTATATGTAATAACTAGTTGGTGGCCCAATGTCCTGAATGTGAAGCCCCTGTGTTCACATAATGTAATAACTAGTTTTGTTTGTAATGGAAAAGGACACTGACCTTACTATGTTTTTTAAGTAAGGCCCAGGTAGTACAAGTAGGACTCCTGCTCTGGGCCCTGACCCTGTGCTCAGGACTACCTTCCTCAGAAGCGTCTGGAACCTCCTCTGGTGGCTGGGACTGGCCAGGATCAGACGTACCCTCTGAGTGAGTTCCCCTCAGGGCTGGAGCAGAACCTGTATGAGTCCCGATCCTTGCCTCTCCATTTCGGAGTTTCTCTTTCTCTCTCTCTTCGCCTCTCCCCTATGTGTGGGGTCCGAGAGCTACGCTGCCCGATAGTCTCCCAGGACTCCTGCCATCTGGCAAGAGAACTGCTCCTTCTTGTGCTCTGTGTGGTGTTTCTTTCATGAGATTGGCCGTCGGGATGATGTCGACATGGTGACTTCGAGTGACTCAAGTAAGTCGTTTACAGGACAAGATCAGGGTATTAGGCCACCAGCTAGCCACTGCCGGTCCTTGGGCTTGAGCTGCACATGTAGGTCCCTGGATCAGTTCTCATCCATCCAACAGAGGGGCAGCCCAAAGGTGGTGGGGATGGTGGCAGGTGCCTTTCCCCTGTGGTATCTCCTGCCACCAGCACCCAGGATGCCTTAGAATCAATGTCCTCCCTTGGCTCCCATCAACGCAGTGACGTCCTGCTGCCCCAGGTCAGGTTGAGGCCATGCTTAATGAGGAGTGGCCATTCTTTGTACAAAGGGACTTCTCATTCTGTCCCTGGGCCCCTTGCCTCTCTTCCTCCTTGGTGGTGGTGGTGGTGGTGTGCAGCAGCCAGGAGTGTGGCCAAGCTTGCAATAGATCTTATCCTGGGAACACAGGGGTCCCATGTGAGAAGACATGGGTAGAAGATGTGCTGTTCCACTTGCCTGCTAAGGAGTGTCACCCAGTACGTTTCGCCTGAACAGAAACTGAGCTTGCGTTCCCATTTCCCGGCATGCTGTATGCCTTCTGTGGTTCTTATCCACAGAGTACAGTGACCAATTCTGAAAGTCACTGGCAGCCATTATGCACGGGCAGCCCACAGGGTGATGCATCACCACTGGTAACCACGTAAACAGCAGTCAATTCGTGCTATGAGAGCCTACAGAGGGAAGAAGATCTGTGTTTCTCCACGACAGACATCGTGAGAAATAACAGAGTTGCTACCCTCCTGTGGTGGGAGAGAGGAAGTGACCCAACACACTGGACAGTGAAGAATATAAATGGCATGTGAACAGGAAGAGATGCGGCCTGCAGACTATGAAGATTCTTCCCGTGTGACCAGGGGCCCTGTGATAGGCAGCCTCTGAGATGGTGCCCACCTTCTGGTGTTGGTGCCTTTGTGTTATTCCCTCCCCCTTGAACATGGCCTGGATTTGGTGACTCACTTCTTTTTTTTTTTTTTAAGATTTATTTATCTATTTATTTGAAAGGCAAAGTTACAGAGAGGCTGAGGCAGAGAGAGAGAGAGAGAGAGGTCATCCATCCACTGGTTCACTCCCTAGATGGACTCAACGGCTAGAGCTGGGCTGATCCAGAGCCAGGAGCCTCTTCTGGGTCCCCCACGTGGGTGCAGGGGCCCAAGCACTTGGACCGTCTTCTACTGCTTTCCCAGGTGCATTAGCAGGGAGCTGGATCAGAAGTAGAGCAGCCGGGTCTCGAACCGGAGCCCATATGGAATGGCGGCACTGCAGGCAGCAGCTTTACCCACTACATCACAGTGGCAGCCCCATGTGACTCACTTCTAACAATCAGAATATGGCAGAACCAAGGAGCTGAGACGGGTGAGGTTAGTTTATAAAAGACTACAGCTTCCAACTCTTGGCTCGCTGTCTCTCTCCCTGCCTCCTTCTCACATGGGATCCCAGCTATCCTGTGGGGATGGCCATGTGAAATAGAGGCACTGGAGTTTGAGAGGCCGCACAGAGCAGAGCGGGCTCCCTACAGTCCAGAGTGACACCATGCGCCAGCGGTGAGCGAAGCCTCTTGGAAATGGGGCCCCGCAGCCCCTTTCAAACCTTCAGATGTTCACAACCGCAGATCCAAGCTCCTGAGAGAGCTGGAGCCACAACCATGGAGCTAAGTGGCACCCACATTCCAGACCAGTAGAAACTGTGAGACGATAAATGCTTGTGCTTTTTCTCCCTAAAGATTTATTTTATTTATTTGAAAGGCAGAGTTAGAGAGAGAGAGAGAGATCTTCATTCCACTAGTTCACTCCCTAAATGGCTGCAACAGCCAGAGCTGGGCCAATCCGAAGCCCAGAGCCAGGAGCCTCTTCCAGGTCTCCCATGTGGGTGCAGGGACCCAAGGACCCGGGCCATCTTCTACTGCTTTCCCAGGCCACAGCAGAGAGCTGGATCGGAAGTGGAGCAGCTGGGACTCGAACTGGGGCCCCTATGGGATGCTGGCACCATAGGCAGAGGCTTAACTTTCTACACCACAGAGCTGGCCCAAATAACAGATCTTATGACTGATAATCCTATATGGCTGTTGTCTGATATCATCAAGCAAAGTACCGCCAGGATTCTGACAATAACACAAGGACACTTTAAAAAGTTCATGGAAACCCGAGTTTTAAAATAGGTTTATTTTGATGCAAATAAAACCTTGAAAGCCATGCATATGGGGGAGTTTTGGGCTGGCCCAGCCTCTAGGTGTTGCAGGTATTTGGGGAGTGAACCAAAACAAAAATGTAACACAGGGATGGATGGGCAGGCTGGCATGGCCGCCAGTGCCCATTTGCCCTATGTGACCCGTGCGAGAAGCAGGGACATAGGCAGTAAAGATTTCTGCTGCTGCCATAGCCCTCCTAAAACCCCACACTTAAGCTCTTCACACCCCTGCTCGGAGGCCATACTGTGTCCCTTCTTCCCTCCTTCCGGTCACCGTATGGACCCAGCTCCTTATGTCCTTAGCCTCCACACCCAGCCCCCATCTGTCCGCATGTGAGTGAGGCCCTGGCCCTCCTTGGGGGTCCCAGTGGCGACAAGCAAGCCAGGGGTGACCTGGGCTCTGAGTCATTGGCTGGATTGTTGGGGTCGGATGGCAGAGGCTTTGTCTGTTCTGCTCACTGTGTAAAGCCTGACTCGTGCAGAGACTTCCTCAGTGTGTCCGAAGCGTGAGCTTCCTCTCCAACCCTCAGCGGGCCCAGAGTCGAGGAAGGGACCGACTCAGGACCACGTGGCAGAATAATGGGGGGAGAACTAGGATTTTGCCTGGGTCCCCAACTGCTTACTCAGGGGCTACCCATTTTTTTCCCCCACAGCCTCTCCCATGCGTTTCCTGGCGGCTGTAGACAAAGGCATGTGCCATCCAGACCCCCTTGGAAGGAAGGACTCACTGCGCAGCCGCAGGGAGAGTGACAGGCAGGCAGCCTTCAGCTCCGATGGCTCCAGCTGCAAAGAGCCATCGCCATGAGGCCATGGCCTTCCCAGGCCCACCCTTCCCTCCCAGCCACCCCCACCCCAATGCTTCCGGCTGGCTCTCTGTAGCGTGGCCTGCAGGGCAGCTTAGCCCTCCCTCTGCTGGATCCCACCTCCTCTCCTTCCCCTTCACAGGAACTGATTCCTAATAGACATCTTGTAACCAAACTCCTCGTGACACTGGCTGTCCAGCAAAGGCTCAATGCAATGCCCTAATGAAACCAGAGACCCTAACGCTGCATCCACCAGGAAATTGTCAGTTTGGGGAAAGAGAGGAGTGGAATGGCCACCTTGCGTATCAGCTGAATGGAGATACTTAAGGCGCCGGAAGAGTCAGGAAACTCACCTGAGACAGAGGACCATAGCACAAAGGAAAACGGTGCAGGGAGTAACCATGGAAACATTACTGACACTGGGTTCTGTAAAACTCAGCTCCACATAACCCAGCAGGTGAGAGAGGGCAAGAAAGCCCAGGACTGGCTTTTTATTCAGAACACATTTCCATTCAGTTCTGAGAGAATCAAAAAATCAAAAAGCTCGAGAGAGTAGCAGATGGGTTGTGTGTTTCCAGATCTGGGAAGCCACTCTGCACAGTGCTCCTGAAACATGTGGCACATGAAACGTGTAACCATTTTTTTTAAAGATAGATTTATTTACTTATTTATTTATTTGAAAGTCAGAGTTACACAGAGAGAGAAGACAGGCGGGGGGAGGGGAGTCCTTCCATCCACTGGTTCACTCCTCAGTTGGCCTCAGTGGCTGGAGCTGCGCAGATCCGAAGCCAGGAGCCAGCAGCCTCTTCCAGGTCTCCCACATGGGTGCAGGGGCCCAAGGACCCGGGCCAATTTCCACTGCTTTCCCAGGCCACAGCAGAGAGCTGGATCGGAAGTGGAGCAGCCAGGACCCGAACTGGTGCCCACGTGGGATGCTGGCACTGCAGGCAGCGGCTTTTACCTGCTACACCACAGCGCCGGGCCCACCAGTTACTTCACACCTGAATCATCTCTCAGATGCAAGAACGAATGCAGGTTGAGAATCCCTTATCTGAAATGTTGGGGACCAGAAGTTTTCTGGATTTCAGATCTTTTTCAAATTTTGGAATATTTGCATACACATAATAAGATATTTTGTGAATGAGACCTAAGTCTAAACATCAAATTAATTTGTTTCATATACACTTTATACACATAGCCTGAGGGTAATTTCATGCATTTTTTTTTTCAATTTTCAGAGGCAGAGAAACAGCTCTCATTTGCTGGTTCAGCCCTCAAATGCCTGCAATGGCTGGGGCTGGGCCAGGTCTAGGCCAGGAGCTGGGAACTCTGGCCCCTATTGGAAGTTAACAGAAATCTCCATTCACTGTCAGACATGGGGCCAATGACAGTGGAACAGGTAGAGAGGTCTGGATTTCAGGTCATGGAAGACAGGTAGCAGCAGTGGAACAGCTAAGATTTGAGGGGGGCGGCGCTATGGCGTAGCGGGTAAATCTGCTGCCTGCAGTGCCAGCATCCCATATGGGGGCCGGTTCGGGTCCTGGCTGCTCCACTTCCCATCCAGCTCTCTTCTATGGCCTGGGAAAGCAGTAGAAGATGGCCCAAGTCCTTAGACCCTGCACCCACATGGGAGACCTGGAAGAAGCTCCTGGCTCCTGGCTTCAGATCAGTGCAGCTTTGGCCATTGTGGCCAACTGGGGAGTGAACCAGTGGATGGAAGACCTCTCTCTCTGTGCTTCTCTTTCTCTATGTAACTCTTTCAAATAAATAGATAACTCTTAAAATAAAAAGACTGGGGATGAGGAGCCTGTCATGTTGGATTAGTTAAGGTTTGCCTCTGTGAGAGTTCAGCTCAAATGGGGTCGTGATGGAGTCAAAGCTACCAGTCTGGATTCAAGTTCAGACCACTGATATCTTCAAGGTTCTAAGGCTTAAAGAGCAGAACACCAGTGATGGTGGGTTTTCCCTTGAGAACAAGTTTTATTATGAATTATGTAAGCACTTAAGAAAACAAGCAATGGAGTTGGGCACGTAGGCATAACTAAAACTTATGGGACATAAGAATATCCTCCACTTAATACACTAAAATGAAGATAGTGGGCTATTAACCAGAGGTCCAGATTGAAGGTTAGACCAAAGAATAGTCAACAAAATTTCAGTCCCAAATGAGACCAGAGGGGTCAGGTCAGAATGGAAGAGATCATAGAATAGTTAATAGGTACATAGGTCTGAGGCCGACCCAGATGGAATTGATGCTACAAGTGTGAACAAGTGTCCAAGACTCAAGGTCGGATCAGAGGAGCAGTTATAAAGGAACAGTAGAGGTCACGGGTTTTTTTTTGTAAGATCAGAGGGTTATGAACAGTGTAACAATTTATTGAGGTCAGGCCAGAGGAGCAATTGAGTATGGGAAAGCTAAGAGAGGCTCAAGTTCAATTTTCAGATATGAGGAGCATTGACAGTGAATTAACTTGAGACCTGGATTCAAGTGTCTGGCAGTTGCTGATGGTGGAATCACAGTCTTGGGTTAGAGTTTAGAATGCAAAGATGTGCATGAAAGAGTTAAAAAGACTGAAGTTCCAAGTAAAACTAGAGATCTTGATTGTGGAGGCATTAGTAGAGGAGCAAGTATGAGGGTATACCAGATGGACAGTGAGGGTGATGGTGTAAAGCGCCTGGGTTTGAGGTCATGCTAGATATAGCCTTGGTGGAGGAAATGTTGAGATGCTCAGATGTGAATTCAGACTAAAAAGACAGTGACGGCGTGGGCCTCCAGCTTGGCAACCAGGATGCCAGTTCAGATGCCCACATCCCACAGCAGAGTACCTAAGTTTGGTACCTGGCTCTGGCTCCTGACTCCAGCTTCCCGCTACTGCAAACCCCGGGAGTCAGTAGTGATGACTCAAGTGGTTGGGTCCCTGCCACCCAAATAGAAGACCTGGATTGAGTTTCCGGCTCCAGGCTTTGGCGCTGCCCAGCCCCCACCATTGTAGGCCTTTGGGGGAGTGAACTGGCAGATAGGGCTCTCTTTAAATAAATAGATTTTAAAAAAGACATTGTTGGTAGATTAGTCAACAGAGGCCTGGGCTTAAATTTGGACCACCTGGGCATTAATGGTACAGCTGTTAATCTGGTTATGATATACCATGAGGACACTGATGGATGGTGAAACAATAAAGGCACAGAGTCAAGGTCGGGGCTGAGGTTACTTAAGGTTAGAATGGAGCAAAAAGGACACTGACCACAAAATAACTGACAGAAGCCCAAGTTCAAGGTCATATCAGAATTACTGGTGGAATAATATACAGAAACCCTGCTTTAAGATTTGATCAGTGAGTCACTGATTGGGAATAATTAACAAAGACCCAGTTTCAGGTTCAGACCAGTGAGGCTGTTGATGATGAAGTAGTTAACAAACACACAGTCAGACAAAGGGCATGGAACCCTTAATGGAGGCAAGACCAGAGTGGCACTGATGCAGTCATCCGTGGTTACAGAGCTCCAGATCTGACTGCAGACCAGAGGCACAGTGACAGATGATGGACAAGTTAACAGAGCTTGAGAACATTATTTTTTATTTGCTCATCTTTTATTTCTTCTTAGGTCGTAAGTCAAGAAAAGTGTCACCAAGTTGAATTTAAAATAGAATATCACTCTGCCACCTCAACATTTCACAAGAATGAAACCCCCAAAATCATGCACAACAATATTCATGACCAATCATCTCGAATCAGACTCAATAAAGGACATGAAGAGTGAGACAAAACGAAGAAAGTGTTAGGAGAAAAATGAGGTTCCCCGCCCCCACCCCCCAAGTTATCTTGCCATCTGTATACCATGGTTGAAACTGAGTATCCATTTGGTGTTCATACTGTTAGGGTTTAAATGTGTCCTCCAAAGTTCATGTGCTGTTAAGTGTGATCCCCATTGTTAACAGTATTAAGAGATGGGGTCTTGAAGAGGTAATTAGGTTGAGGGGCTCCACCCTCATGAGTGGATTAATGCCATCATCACAGGGAGTGGGTTCCTGATAAAGGATCAGTTGCCCCCTCTTCCTGCACTCTTGGCTTCTCCTCTCTCATGCTCTCTTGCTATGTGAAGCCTCCCACCATGTTATGATGCAACAGGAAGGCCCTCACCGGGTGCCAGCAGCTTCGTCTTGGACTTCCCAGCCTCCAGAACCGTGAGCCAAACAAACCTCTATTGTTTAAGAGTTAACACAGCAGACCCAGCCGCTTCCTTGGAAAGGCTTGCGTCAAGGTCGGCTCTTGGCTGGCGACTGGGAAACTTCTATTTCAGAAGGGTTCCTGTGATGCCCAGATAATGACTGCTCCCTGTGCCTAAACTGTACAAACAATGTCGTTCGTGATGGATTCCTGCTTTCCTTCTGGGAGTCTGGAACTTGGGGACGTGCCAGGCAGGGGCTGTCTACGTGACCGGTTCCCAGTAAAAACCCTGGGCACTGAGTCTAATGAGCTTTCCTAGTTGGCAACATTTTGCATGCATTGTCAAAACCCATTATGGTCCACTGGGAGAGGACCCTAAGGAACTTGTGCCTGCCCTCCCCTGAACATGGTCCCATGCACCATTTCTCTTTGCTGATTTTGCTCTGTATCTTTCTGCTATAATAAATCATAACCATGAACACAACCATATGCTAAGGCTTTTGACTCCCAGCAAATCAGCCTGAGGCTGGTTTTGGGGACTGTAACACATGCATACATGAGCGTGATCATAAAAACAATCCAGCTCACTGATAGCCCTATTTTGTCCCCATTTACCCTGGGGCTGGCAGATGGAAGTCAAAGTTAGAAATACTTTTGGCTACAAGTAACCAGACTATCAAATAACAGTGCATTAGAGAAAGAGATTCTTTCTTTCCCCCCAGCCAAACTGCAGGAGTTAGTTCAGCAGCTTAATCGTGTTAGACCAGATTGGAGTCTCCGTGACTCTGGGGAATGGCCCCGGGGGGTCACAAGATGTTAGTCAGACATAGTACCAACACATGGGAGCTGGAGGGGAGTAGCTGGAGAAGAGCCTTGGGCATTCTGGTAACTGACATTTTCTGGTGACTCGAGCCATTGACAAGGGAATTCTGTTAATCCCCATCAATACCCAAGCATCCTCTCCTCGCTAAGGGCTTTCTTCAAATATGAGGGTATTTTAAAAAGCTCATGGAAAATGGAACCAAAGGTAAGTTTGGGACTGATGTTACACAATGGGTCAAGCTGCTGCTTGCCTGCTTGCAATGCCAACATCCCGTATTGGAGCACTGATCGGAGTCCCTTTCTGCTCCATTTCTGATCCTGCTAATGTGCCTGGAGAGGCAGTGGAGGATGGTCCAAGTGCTTGGGACCCTGCCAGCCATGTTGTGAGCATTTGGGGAATGAACCAGCAGGCTGATCTATCTGTCTTTGTCTCTCCCTCTCTGTGTTTCTCTGCCTTTCAAATAAATAAATAATAAATAAATAAAAAGACAAATTTCTTCTGGTGCAAAAACATTTTGAATGTCTATGCATAGGACCGGCGCTGTGGCGCTGTAGGCTAAGCTTCTGCCTGTGGTGCTGGCATCCCACATGGGGGCTGGTTCACGTCCCAGCTGCTCCTCTTCCAATCCAGCTCTCTGCTTATGGCCTGGGAAAGCAGTGGAAGATGGTTCAAGTGCTTATGAAATATTGAAAATAAAGAAATCTATACATAGTTTTTTTTTTCATTAAAAAGCTGATGGAAAACACCATTATGGAGGAAATATGCATGACTTTCAGAACATTTGTGCACAAAATAAACTTGCTTTTGAATTCCAGTTTCCATGAACTTTTTGAAGTCCCCTTGTACTGAATATCGCTTTTTGATTTGAATTGTTCCAGGGCTGGAGTTTGGGCCCTGGGTGGGCACAGGAGGAGATGAGGATGGAAAGCTTCCTCATTGCCTGCACCCCATAGAGGGAGCCCCTAGTCCACCTTGGGGGTACATGGTTGCCCCTGTACCAGCTTCGAGCTCCAAATACTCAACACCTCTGTGCTCTGCTTGTGGACAGCAGTGCACGGACGGGTGTGGTCCATGGGGCCTTGGCTGGGGCTGTGATGGGGGGACACCTAGGCGCCTGAGCAGACTCCTGCAGCCTCTGACAAGGAAGCCCCTGGGGCAGAACCAAGCACAGCCCACCCAACTGGTCTGCCACCACCACCTTGGTGTTGGTCCCCATCCCTGCTCAACAGTGGTCTCCTCGCTGGCCCCTGCTTCCACCCTGTGGCCTGTCATCCCTACAGCAGCTACAGGGAGCCTGTTAGGACCGGGCCAGGTCCAGTCCCGTCCCTCCTCTGGTCAAAGCCTCCCAGTGAAGGCTCCTTTACTCAGGAAAAAAAAAAAAAAAAGGCAAAGTCCTCCTGTGGGTCCTCAAATGTGGTCCGACCTCACCTACCATCACACTCTGCCCTGTGGGCACACTCCAGCCTCAGTGCTTCTGTGCTGGCTCCATCCTGTCTAGAACGTTCTCCCCCCACACCCTGTGGCTGCCTCTCACCTCATGCAGGTCTCTTTATATGTCACCCTGTCACCAAAAAAAGCCAAACCCCCTACTCCTGCACCCCTGTCTCCTGCCCCTGCCCTTTTTTCTCGCACCACGCACCTTGAGCTGACCTGCTCCCTACAGAGGTGCCTGCCCTGCGGAGGGCTTACTGCCTGGTGACCGCTGTGTGCTGACAACATCCTAGAACTGCATTTCATCCCCCTAACCTACTGCACCTCATGGCTTAGCCGAGCCGATGGGAACCGCGCTCAGAGCACTCCCTTAACCTACAGATGGGCAAAGCCCTCTAACGCAGCCTACTTGACACAAAAGCGCTGAGAATCTCGGGTGATTTGTCAAATACTGTACTGGACGGGAAGAACAGAATGGCTGTATGGGTACGCTTTCACACCACTGCCGTGTCCAGACACTGGCGAGCCTCACAGGGATGCCTGCCTTATTGGCTACCGCCTACTTGTCTCCACTGGGATGCACACCGCACCATATGGCCAGGACCTCGAGTGGCTCCTGGCTCCAAGTCGGTGCTCAGCAGCCTCTGCTGAACGCGTGGCTGGGTCAAGCTCTGTGACATGGCCCACACTCAAAGAGTGTTTGTTGGATGGGTGAACACATCACTGTGGGGAAGGCATGGATGAGAAAATGAACCCCATTCTGCTGGGTCCCAGGGCTGTGGGGGCTCCCCAGGACAGCCCCCTGGCCCACCTGGAAGCTGGGCCTCACCCACCAGCACAGACACTTTATTTACAACACGAGGCTGGTGAGGGCTGGGGTGGGGGTGGGGGTGGGGAAACAGCAGCAGGGCCAGCAGGGCCCCTACTTCTGCTCCCGTCTCCAGACGATGACCATGCCCCTGGCGTCACTGGAAGCCAGCAGGCTCTCGTCGCAGTTGAAGCTGACGTCGAGCACGGGCGCGCTGTGGCCCTGGAGCTTGTTGACGGCGGCCTTGGCCGCCCGCTCCACGTCAAAGAAGTGCACGCACATGTCCTCACTGCCCGTCACTGTGCGGGTGAGAGGGAGAGGCCATCAGGAGGCGGCTGGGGGCGCCCTGAGGCGGCTGACGTGGGAGGCCCCAGCATGGCCCTGTGGAAGCCTGAGCCGCGTGGGCTGGGTGCGAGGTCACCCCCCCCCCCCGCCCCCCGCCCCCGCCCCCGGCCAGGCTGGGGCTCTCACGCCTCCAGGAGGTTTCTGAGGCTGTTGTGAGGCCCAGGAAGTCAGGGCTTCGGGGTGTCACGGCCTCAGAGCAAGGTTGCCACCACCCCGCAGCAGCCCAGACCCCCCTGCCCCACAGGGGACTCACCCACGCAGGCTCCCTGGCGGAAGGACATGAGAGGGCAGAAGATACTGTCCCGGCGGTGGGCGCTCTCTCGATGGCGAACCTCCCCTTCCACTCCAGGGTCCCGTCGTTTTCCTCCCCCTCGAGGGAGGACAAGGGCGCAGCTCTACCAGCAGAAGACATCTCCCCCCCCGGCCCCGCAGTGAGCCAGGCCACGCCCCCACCCCTGCGCTGAGGTTCCTACAATGCTGCGGGGAGCTGAGTAGGTATCCTGCGTGAGCGATGGCTCAGAAGGTGTGTCTGCTGCCACACACACGAGCCCCCGCAGTGTCCGGCACTGGTTTCCTTCTTCTGCAGGGGGCTCTCAGGGATCCCGGGCTGAGGGGAGGAGCTGACACGGCACCGCACGGGAGAGCCAGGGTTTCCCTGAGCCCGTTTCTGTAAAACAGCGTCCCTCCCTCAACAGCTAAGGGAGTTGTGCGTGTGCGTGTGCGTGTGTATGACAAGGGCAGGAGGGCAGAGAACAGTGACGGAAACGGAAACGTGCATTGTCACCCTGTTTCCCTGCGGAGGGGGGGAGGGAAGAGGGAGGGCAGGGCGGAGGGTGGGGGTGGGGGAGCGAGAACATAAAAGTATAATTTTTTTTTCTTCCCCATGTCCCCCTATTCACAGTACAGACCAAGCGCAAAGCCTGAGCTGGGGTGTACACCGGGGAGGTCTACTCTGCCTCTTCTTTCTACAGGGTGTGAGGACACAGCAGTGGTAAGCAAGCGCAGATGCACTTCCAAATGGAGAAGACAGTGGTTCTCCAGCCAGGCCAAATGGCGCCTGGGGAAGCTCCCACCCCAGAATTTGCTGGCCTGCAGGGCAGCCTGCCTGTGGCTTTGTGAAGCCTTATCACGTTATGCCAATGTGTGGCCCCGGGGCTACACGGGCAGGTGTGAGTTGCTGGGAGGGAGGGAGGAAGGGAGGAAGGAAGGAAGGAAGGAAGGAAGACAGGAAGACAGGAAGACAGGCCTGTGCTGGAAGGAAGGAAGGAAGGAAGGAAGGAAGGAAGGAAGGAAGGAAGACAGGCCTGTGCTGGAAGGAAGGAAGGAAGGAAGGAAGACAGGCCTGTGCTAGAAGGGGGTCCCTCCCTAGTTTGGTGCCTCAGCTGGCTTAATCATAACGGGAGCTAATAAGTCTCTACTGGGGCTGGTGCTGTGGCACAGGGGGTTAACGCACCGGCTTGAAGCACCAGCATCCCATATGGGCGCCAGTTCAAGTCCCGACTGCTCCTCTTCCAATCCAGCTCTCTGCTATGGCCTGGGAAAGCAAAGTCCTTGGGCCCCTGCACCCACGTGGGAGACCCGGAAGAAGCTCCTGGTTCTTGACTTCTGATTGGCTCAGCTCTGGCCATTGCAGCCATTTTGGGAGAGAACCAGCGGATGGAAGACCTCTCTCTACCTCTCTCTGTAATTCTTTCAAATAAGTTAAAACAAATCTTTTTTTTTTTTTTAAGGGTCTCTGCTATTGGTTGGAGTGAGGATTAGATAAGGTGATGTGCAGGAAGTATCTGGAATATGGCCTGTCTGCAGCGGTTGCCATACAGGTGCTTGCTACTGCTTATTAGTACGACTCCTACTGACGTCACCATTGTCGTCATCGTGTTAATCGGAGACCAGACCCCCAGCCTCAGCGAAACCCATCTGACGGAGGAGGCCGGCTCTCGTCCCTGTGTGATGGAGGCGGTGGGGCCTGTATCCCTGGGTGGCTGCTGGGGACGCACCTGTAGAGCAGCAGCTTGTTGAGGCAAGCGTTGATGAGCAGCGAGGGGTCCCGGGCCTCGCGGCTGACCCAGGAGCGGGCGGAGATGCTGGTCACGGGGCTGCCTTCATGCACCAGCAGACGCTTGGCCTTGGTCAGCTTCCCTACAGCAGCGGAGGAAGGGAAGGCGAAGGTCGGGGCCCCGGCTGCGCTGCACCGCGCCAAGACGCAGGCCCACTGCCCGCCTACCTGTGGCCATGTCGAAGAGGAAAGAGAAGACGCTGCCGCGGTCATCGCCCGCCCAGAGCAGCCGGCCAGGGGCATCGAAGGAGAGGGCGAGGACGCGGCCTGTCAGCTTGCTGGAGCCACCCTTCACTTTCTTGCCCGTGGAGATGTTCACCACGTGCACGTTGTGCTTGGCGGTCCCCACCTGTGGGTGCGACACACATTCCATCATGCTCCTCCCAAGCCAGTCCCTCCCTGAGTCTGACCACAGCCGCGCTACAGTTGATGGGGCCTGGCTGGTCCCTACTCGAGTTCAATCGCAGTGGGCACGCGGCAGGTAGAGCAGAAAGGGACCCAGGCATTCACGCCTCCCTCGAGCCAGCCCCTGCAGCAGCCTGCCCACCACAGACAGCTGCTCCTGTCACAGAGGGGCCTCACAGCCAGCATGCCGCCCCTTGCTCAGTCGCCCGCAGTCTGAGAGCACGCGCCCCCTGTCCCCCACAAGGCCTCTAGCTTTTCCCTGCACAGGGCCCTGTGAGCAGCGGCTCGCCCGTGCCCAGCCCCCTGTGCTTCACCACCCTGCCTCAGGTGACGGCAGACTTTGCATTTCCCTGACCCATCTGTCCTGGAGTCGGACCACGGTGGGACTGCACGACGTGTCCGCCTCTGTGTCCTGCTCCCCAGCCCCTGCAGCTGGAAAACTGTAGGGCTGCAACCACTGGGACCAAAGGGGTCCCTGTGCCACGCCCCTTCCCACCAATCCCTGCTCCCTCCCCGAGCCACGCCCAGCAAAGCCATCCCACACTGACAACTGCTCTCCCCTCCCCCCAACTTCTGGCCTGCTCCCTTTAAATCTGACCACAGCAGGCCTTCTGTGACAGGCATGGGGGGTCCTAGACTCCCCAGGCCACCCCCCGTAAGACTCCAATGCCTTGGGGTGAGTGGGTGCCCTGGAGCCTGACCACAGTGAGGTTGTTGTTGACGGGCTGGAAGGTGCAGCAGAGCAGTTCGGCGCCATCGGGGTCAGGGATTTCCCGGATGCAGCGGCCATCCTCAGAGGCCCAGATGCGCATGGTGGCATCGAGTGAGGTGGACACAAGGATGTCATTGGAGAGGGACCAGGCAAAGTCGGAGACGCCACGGGTGTGGCCCCGCAGCACTCGGAGCACGGTGGGTGGGGCGGGTACCAGCTGGCACAGGGAGATGCTGCCGTCCAGTGAGCAGCAGGCTAGGCGGTGTCGGTCATCGTTGGCGAAGCGCACCCTGGGGACTGCAATGGCAACGAGCAGCTGTGGCAGTGCACTCACTGGGCACTTTTCAATTCTACAATGCCCTGGGTGCGCAACGGGTGGGGTGGGGGGGCTGGGATCCTACTGCGCAAGCGCAGTGGCCTCAGCACAGGGCTTTCCTTGACTGACAAAAGGAGCTGTAGCTGCAGAGGGCCCTCTACCGAAAGCTCCCCGATCTTAGCAGGAGCTCCCTCACAGATTGACAAAGTCAGCAAAGGCTGTGGATTCCTCCGGGTCTCTCCCATGGGTGCAGGGGCCCAAGGACTTGGGCCATCTTCTACTGCTTTCCCAGGCCACAGCAGAGAGCTGGATCAGAAGTGGGGCAGCCGGGACTCGAACCCACATCCATAGGGGATGCTGGCTGCAAAGTACTCTTCAAGCTCCCCAAGCCCTTTATGGCACATAGAATACTGAGGCCCGGGAGGCCACTTTGCCGGGTGGCGTGGGGTGCTGAAGAAGGCTCTACAGATGGTAAATTCCTGCCTCTGTGGAGGGGGCACCAGGGGTCTTGCATTCTGGATAAGGATGTCTTGAGTGGCTGTCACAGTTTGGACAGCTGCCTGGTGATGCCCTGCCTCCACCCGCCCCCCCCCCAGCTTACCTGCCTCATCCACATGCTGGTCAAAAACATGGTACATGCCAGCAAAGGCATAGTTCTCGCTGAGGGACGTGTCCCCGGCCATGGCCCGACTCGCCTCTGCCGCTGACGTGGGCACCACGCTGCCGGGGGGCCTGGGCCCCAATAGGAAGTAGAAAGTGACGGTAAATGTTCAGCCTGCTATTGCCCCAAGGCAACCCCTCCCCGGCCCCAACCCCCCAGCCCCTGGCTGCCTCTGGGGCCTACCTGTCCTCATAGACAGCACGGTTCATCTGTGCTTGCAGCTGGTAGGAGCCCCGGCTGACAGAGCGGCGGTGCCCACGGGCCCCTAAGGCCCGAGGGTCGTCCTCAAAGTCCTGTAAAGGGAGGGGGCGGGGCGGTCTTGGCTCAAACAGCCGGCGAACCTCGGAGGTCCGGTGCCCTCGAACTATAACCACAGCCTGATCCCTTCTCGCTGCGTGGCCCGGCCGCCACCATCACTGCTCGCCTGCACTCCTGCAGAGCCTCCTTCGCTACTTTTCCAGCTTCTGCCCTGTCCTTGCTCAGCGGCTACTCAATATGTGTACTATGAACACAGAACGGATATGCTCTCCCCGGAAAACCACTCACCTCTGTCTCACCTCCTGCGAATTTCACTCTGTTACCTCCGCAGAGCCACCTTCCCTCATCACCCCACCAAAAAATACTGCCCTACCGACTCCTATACCATTCCTTCCTAATCTCCCAAGTCCACTTTATTTTTCTATCTTAGCACGTCTCACTGCTAGCCAACGGTGGCTCATCTGGCTTGCAATATGCTTATTGACCTGTTTATCTTATTTATTGCCCGTTTATCATATTTACCATCTGTTTACTGGCTAACTGGGTATGCTCTTTCTGTCTTGTGCTGCGGCTAAGAGACTGGAACAGTGCATTGTACATCACAGGTGCTTGCCAAAAGACCCTGGAGTGGGGGGGGGCAGCATTGTAGTGCAGGTCTAACCTGCCACCTGCAACACTGCCATCCCATGTAAGTACCAGTCTGCAGCCTGGCTGCTCTCTTTCTGATGCACCTCCCTGCTAATGCACCTGAGAAAGCAGCAAAAGATGGTCCCTGCCACACATGTGGGAGACCAGGATGAAATTCCAGGCTCCTGGCTTCAGCCTAGCCCAGTCCTAGCTGTCCTGGGCATCTGGGGAGTAAACCAGTGGATAGATCTCTCTCTCTCTCTGCCCCTCTCTATGCCTCTATCTTTACAAAGTCCACGAGTGGGATGGGATGCATGTGGGACATACAGCAGGCAATGTGTCCAAGAGCTCACCTCCATGCGGTCAAGGGTAGTGCGGCTGCTGCGGACGATGCTGTTGCTATAAGCACGAGCACTGCCTGGCTCGGAGAGGGGTCCGTAGCGTTGGCCCAACAGCTGTCCCCTCAGCCTCAGGTACTGCCTGCGCAGTGCTGGGGGGTGCCCAGCCTTGGCATTCTCCCGAAGCAGCTGGCTGCGCCGGCGGATATATTGGGTCCGAAACTGTGGAAACGTTGGTGTGCGGTACGCGTTGTACCTGTGAGGTCAGGTGGCAGGGTGGACAGCAGGCACAGGTCACAGGGACTTGATCAGTTAAAGGGACAGGGGAGGAAAATGAGGCGTGACTGGGGTCAGGGTGGCAGGAGTGATCAGCAGCGGTGATACAGGCTAGTCTATGGCACTAATAGTGGGCACGGTGAAGTTAATACAGGGTCGATCTCCCCTGGGGCCACTAGAGGGCGACTGAGTCAGGGGACACAGGACCAGTATGCAGAGACCAGTCAGGCTGACAGGACAATGGGGGTTAGTGGCGGCTGGTGGTGAAGTCAGCCTGGGTCAAGATGGTACAAGAGAACTCTGCAAGGGAATGATGTCCCAGCCTGAGTTCCATCCTCCCCTCCCAAAGGCAGCCGCTTTGCCCATGCCCACTTCTGAGCGCACTTTCCCAGCATGCTCTTGGAACCCTCTCCAGCCACCTCCGGGCGTGCCCCACACCCTGCTACTGCGCAAGCTCACCTCCGGCATGCCCACGCAGCCGCATAAGGCAAGTTCTCCGCCCAGCCTCACTTATCGCCATTGCGCATGCACCACAGTAAGTTCCGCTCCCATGGGCTCCGACCCCACGCCTCACCTCGCGTCCACTGCTAAGACTTGCTGCCACACCGCGGCCATTCCCCGGCCTCCTCCTCTGGCGTGTCCGCCCGCGGAAGCCTGCAGGACAAATGTCTGGAATGTCAGCGTCCCAAGCGAAGAGATCTAGTTCTGCCCCTTCCACCAAGCGAGCGTTGCCATAGAAACCGGGGCCCTTCACGCTGGGAGGTCGTGAAATCCCACCCGGCTGTTACCATGGTCATCACCCCAGCACTGCCCTTCCCAGGGAGCGCCGGGGTGACTCACAGCCGCGATTCAGACCTGACCCCGCCCCTCCCGGTCGCCATAGCAACGCCCCTCCCCCGCCTAGCAATTCTTGCTTGACAGCTCCCAGTCATCTTGCCCCCGCCGCCCTCCGCCTTCCCTTCTCAGGTCCAAGAGAATAGCCCAGGATCGAGGACCACCTCCGGGGCTGCCTCCGGCTCTTGAGGCCCCCCGGGGCGGCCTTGAGACCACTGTCACCCGTTCCTTCTGTCTCTCTTCTCCCTTTCTCAGGCTCCAGGCAAGATGGCCGCCTGCTATCAGAAAGAGCTGCCGAGCACAGAGCGAATCGATGGGAACCCTTTGCAGGGCGTGGGAGTCTCGCACGCGCACTGAGGGACCGTAGCTTAGGCACAAGGACTGAGACTCCACCCCTTGGGCTCTATGCTTTCCGGAATGGCACTTTTTGTGTGAGTATACCCAAGGATAATGTCCGGGACGAGGGTACAGCGACAGGGGTGAGTCAGTTAATTACTCACTATAAATCAGAAATACGACTTTCAGAAACAAACTGAAAAGAAACGGCTTTTCAGAGTAGTTATCTTGGCCCAGCAAAACGGACTACTAGAAACATAATCATACACGCCGAGATCCCTAGAAAGCTCTCCTAGAATGTTCTGCAGTGACTGATGGGCCTCCGGACACCCCTGGGATGAGATGAGTCGGTTATGTGTGTGTCACTGGGAGTGGTTGGATTTGGATGCCCCCAGACAGCTGGAGGCTTGCCTCTAAAGGCAGGGAAATACTTCCTGAAAACAGTCTTTGGGGTTTGAGTCTAAGCAGGCTACCCGAGGTTTCATTTCACCTTCAACAGAAAGCTGCATCTCAAACTGTTCACCTTAACATCATCAGAATAAACAATTTACAAGGTTGAAATACAGTGTTCACAGGCCGGCGCCGCGGCTCACTAGGCTAATCGTCCGCCTGCAGCGCCGGTACCCCGGGTTCTAGTCCCGGTCGGGGCGCCGGATTCTGTCCTGGTTGCTCTTCTTCCAGGCCAGCTCTCTGCTGTGGCCCGGGAGTGCAGTGGAGGATGGCCCAAGTGCTTGGGCCCTGCACCCCATGGGAGACCAGGAGGAAGCACCTGGCTCCTGGCTTCGGATCAGCGCGGTGCGCCGGCCATAGCGGCCATTTGGGGGGTGAACCAACGGAAGGAAGACCTTTCTCTCTGTCCCTCTCTCTCTCACTAACTCTGCCTGTCAAAAAAAAAAAAAAAGAAAGAAAGAAATACAATGTTCACAGTAGTTTATTGGGTCTTAATATCAACTGACAACATTTTCAAAACAATTTTCATGTTATCTTTAACAATTTTTTTGTTTTTGTTTTTAATTTGAAGAGGAGAGACAGAGCGAGCTAGCTCATCTGCTCTCTCCCAAAATTCCCACAACAGCTGGGTCAGGACCTGGGAACTGGGAACTCAGTCAGGGTCTCCCGTATGAGTGGCAGAAGTGCAAATACTTGAGCCATCACTGCTGCCTCCCAGGGTGCACATCAGCAGGAAGCTGGAATCAGGAGCAGAGCCTGGACCTCAGTGCAGTCACTTCAGTATGGGACGCAGGCATCCCAGCTGGCATCTTAGCCACTACACCAAATGACTGCCCCTTTCCCACTATTTGTATAAAGAAGACAGTTAACTGGAATGGGTTTTTTTAATTACTTATTTGCAAGTCAGAGTTACACAGAGAGAGAAAGGGGGTGGGGGTCTTCCATCCACTGGTTCACTCCCCAATGGGCCACAATGGCTGGAGCTTCGCTGATCTGAAGCCAGGAGCCAGGATCTTCTTCTGGGTCTCCCACGCAGGTGCAGGTGCCCAAGGGCTTGGGCCATCTTCCACTGCTTCCACAGGCCATAGCAGAGAGCTGGATCGGAAGTTAAGTAGCCAGGTCTCGAACTGGTGCTCATATGGGAGGCTGGCCTTCTGGCCAGGGCTTTAACCTGCTGCGCCACAGCACCAACTGAAGTGTTTTAAAGCCAGGCGAGCCGGCGCCGCAGCTCAATAGGCTAATCCTCCACCTAGCAGTGCCGGCACACCGGGTTCTAGTCCCGGTCGGGGCGCTGGATTCTTTCCCGGTTGCCCCTCTTCCAGGCCAGCTCTCTGCTATGGCCCGGGAAGGCAGTGGAGGATGGCCCAAGTGCTTGGGCCCTGCACCCCATGGGAGACCAGGATAAGTACCTGGCTCCTGCCATCGGATCAGCGTGGTGCGCCGGCCACAGCGCGCCAGCCGTGGCGGCCATTGGAGGGTGAACCAACGGCAAAAAGGAAGACCTTTCTCTCTCTCTCTCTCACTATCCACTCTGCCTGTCAAAAAAAAAAAAAAAAAAAGCCGGGCGAACTGAGATGTATCCAAAAATGGTGTTACCCTTTTTCTGTGTTCTAGCAAAAATAGATCACCTTGCAATATATGGAATTGATATCTCCCTTGTCTATGTAAGTCATTGTCTTTTCATATTAGTCTTCTGTAACATGGTTGCTAAAGAATGAACTGTATTTCAAGGTAAATGTGTAACCTTCACAAGAACCACTAACATTGGGTAATGAATGTGCTGGGCACTGTCCAAGGTGATTTGTATGCATTGATCCACATATTTTTTAAGGTTTATTTTATTTATTTGAAAGAGCCACAGAGAGAGGTAGAGACACAGAAAGGGGTCTTCCATCTGCTGGGTCACTTCCCAAAGGTCCACAACAGCTGGAGCTGCGCCGATCCAAAGCAAGGAGCCTCCCCTGGGTCTCCCACATGGGTGCAGGGGCCCAAGGACCTGGGCCATCCTACACTGCCCTCCCATGCGCATCAGCAGGGAACCGGATTGGGAGTGGAGCAGCCAGGACCCGAAACAGCACTTAGATGGGATATTGGTGCCACAGGCCGGGGCCTTAACCAGCTGCGCCACAGCACTGGACCTAATCCATCTACTTTTTTCTTTAAATTGAAATTCCTAATACATTTCTCATGCACTTTAAAAAAAAAAAACAGATTTATTACTTATTTGAAATGCAGAGAGAGAGAGAAAGAGAAAGAGAGAAAGGGATCTTCTATCCACTGGTTCACTCCCCAAATGGCTACAATGGCTGGAGCTGCGCCGATCCGAAGTCAGGAGCCAGGAGCTTCTTCTGGGTCTCCCACACGGGTGCAGGGGCCCAAGGACTTGGGTCATCTTCTACTGCTTTCCCAGGCCATAGCAGAGAGCTGGATTGGAAGTGAAGCAGCTGGGTCTCAAATCAGCACCCATATGGGATGCTGGCGCTTCAGGCCAGCACGTTAACTCGCTGAGCCACGGCGCCGGCCCTGATACATCTACTTTTAATAAGTGTTGTGGGGCCTACTACTAACCCCATTTTACAGATCAGGAGACCTAAAGGCCAGGGAGTTCAAGGGTGACACTGAACTGGTCCCATATTTGTGATCAGCATTGGGTTTATTTCCATGTCCTTTTTCCACCATAAAGGATGTGATAAATGTTTTTTCCATTCATTTCTACCCTCCCTGGACAGAGCCGTGCCCTTCATTCTACCCACTCTGCCTCCAACAGGATGGGAGGAAGGGAGGAAATCACAGGAGAGTCCAAGATCCCCCAGGGATTTACTGTCTCACCGTTGGAATGAGATCTTTTGTTGTTGTTTTTACAATATTTATATATTAACATCTAAAACATTATTTTAAATTGTTTTAATTGTTTGAAAGGCAGAGAGAAAGAGAAATTTCCCATGCACTGGTTCATTGCACAAATGCCCACAACAGCCAGGTCTGGGCCAGGCTGAAGCCAGGATCCTGGAACTCAATCCAGGTCTCTTACATGGGTGGCAGGGACCTAAGTATTTGAACCATCGCCTGCTGCCCTTCACGGTGTGCATTAACAAGAACCTGGATGAAAGAGAGCAGAGCCAGGGCTTGAAGTCAAGCCCTCTGATATGGGATGCAGGTGTCCCAATCAGCTCCACAAGCTACCTGCTCCTCAAACATTATTTTTTTTTTAATTTTTTTAATTAATTAATTAATTTATTTTTTGACAGGCAGAGTGGACAGTGAGAGAGAGAGACAGAGAGAAAGGTCCTCCTTTTTGCCGTTGGTTCACCCTCCAATGGCCGCCGCGGCCAGCGCACCGCGCTGATCCGATGGCAGGAGCCAGGTACTTATCCTGGTCTCCCATGGGGTGCAGGGCCCAAGCACTTGGGCCATCCTCCACTGCACTCCCGGGCCACAGCAGAGAGCTGGCCTGGAAGAGGGGCAACCGGGACAGAATCCGGTGCCCCTACCGGGACTAGAACCCGGTGTGCCGGCGCCGCAAGGCGGAGGATTAGCCTAGTGAGCCACGGTGCCGGCCATGCTCCACAAACATTATTTTTAAAATTCATCCTATAAGGCCATAATATGTTATAGAAAACAATCTAATGAAAGGGTAGTATGAGTAACACACATCAAGTGTTTACTACATCTGTAGCCTGAACGTTGCTGTTTTTAAGAGCAATATAATCTGTTTCAGAGGCAGTATAACTTGGCCACTGGCAAAGGCTTTGCCAACTGTGAGTTATATGGCTTCAGGTAAGTTGTATAATCTGGCTGTGGCTCAGACTTCTCATCTGAAAGAAAAGCATCTCATAGGGTTGGCGTGAAGACTGAATGAGCTAGTACTTGTACAGCTTAGTCTAGCATCGGGAACAGAGTAAATACCCAGTCAGTGCTGCCTACTCTCCATTTTTTAAGAAACTCCCCCAAAACATATTCACCTCCCAGAGGTAGTTCTGGTGCAGAAATCATGCAAGTAAGAATGACCACAGCTACCACTTGTATGCTTTGAATTGTTCAAGTTTTAAACTTAAAATGGGTTTGAACAATAAGCTGACAGCAGAAAGCACTTGCAGTTGGGAGCTTTGGAGAAAAAGAGATTTGTCTATGTAAGTGGCAGTGTTATCAAACCCACATCCAATTCATTGTCCCAAAGAATGCAATAACTGAGGCTGGCTGGCATTTTGGCACAGTGAGTTAAGCCTCTTGGAAAGCCAGCATCCCATATCATAGAGGGATGGTTCGAGTCCTGGCTACTCTATTTTTTTTTACAGATTTATTTATTTATTTTAAAGGCAGAGTTACAGAGAGGGAGGGAGGGAGGGAGGGAGGGAGAGAGAGAGGTTTTCCATCTGCTGGTTCACTCCCCAAATGGTCCCAGTGGCCAGAGCTGGGCCCATCCAAAGCCAGGAGCCAAGAGCTTCTTCTGGGTCTCCTACGTGGGTACAGGAGCCCAAACACTTGGGCCATCTTCTACTGCTTCCCAGGCCATAGCAGAGAGCTGGATCGGAAGCGGAGCAGCCAGGTCTTGAACCGGCACCCATATGGGATGCCGGCACTGCAGGCAGCAGCTTTACCAACTATACCACAGTGCCAGCCCTAGCTACTCTATTTTTGATCCAGCTTCCTGCTAATGCTCCTGGGAAAGCAGCAGAGGATGGCCCAATTACTTAGGCCTCTGACACCCACATGGGAGACCCAGATGGAGTTCCTGGCTTCTGACTTTTGCCTGGCCCAACCCCCACTGTGGCCATTTGGAGAATGAACCAGCAGAGGAAAGATCTCTCTCTGCCTTTCAAATAAATACATAACTAAATAAAAATCATTCTAAAATGTACTAAAAAAAAACTTATTTTTTTTAAAAAAGGTTAATGGGGCTGGTATTGTGGTATAGCAGGAGAAACCTAGTGGTTGCTGGGTTATGTCCCAGCTGTTCTGCTACCAGCCCCACTCCCTGATGATGCCATGGGAAAGATCATGGAGGATGGCCCAAGTGTTTGAGTCCCTGCTATGCATGCTGGGGATCTAGATGGGACTCCTGGCTCCTGCCTTCAGTCTGGCCCAGCACAGGCTGTTGCAGTCATCTGGGGAGTGAGCCAGTGGATGGAAGATCTCTGTCTCTCCCTTTCTGTCTGTAACTCTTTCAAAAATGAATAAATAAATATTTTTTTAAAAAAAGAGGATACTGGCCGGTGCCGCGGCTCACTAGGCTAATCCTCTGCCTTGCGGCGCCAGCACACCGGGTTCTAGTCCCGGTCGGGGCACCGGATTCTGTCCCGGTTGCCCCTCTTCCAGGCCAGCTCTCTGCTGTGGCCCGGGAGTGTAGTGGAGGATGGCCCAAGTGCTTGGGCCCTGCAAAGACCTTTCTCTCTGTCTCTCTCTCACTGTCCACTCTGCCTGTAAAAAAAAAAAAAAAAAAAAAAGAGGATACTAGAGCCAATGTTGTGGCACAACAAGTTAAGCTGCCACCTGTGACACCAGCATCCTACATCCAAGTGCCAGTTAGTCCCCACTGCTCTGCTTTCTATCCAACTGCCTGCTAATGCACCTGGGAAAGCAGCAGAAGATGGCCCAATTACTGGGCCCCTGCCACCCACATGGGAGACCCAGATGGAATTCCTGTTTCCTGGCTTCAGCCTGGTCCAGTCCTGGGCTTTGCAGCCATCTGGGGAGTGAACCAGAGGATGAAGATCTCTTTCTCTGTTTCTCCCTCTGTCATTCTGCCTTTCAAACAAATCTTTAAAAGAAAAAGAATCTCATAAATCAGGACAAGGATGTGGGGAGAAAAGTTTACTCAGGCCGCTAGCAACCTGGGAAGTGGCAGGCTAATGCCTTGACATCCAACCAGTCCAGTAAAGGAAAGGAAATCAAAATTTCTGTAGGAACTACAGATTGCCCTACGTGACCATGGTCAAGTTAAAGGTACGCAGGACAGGAAATTCTTCCCGTCATTGTGGCACCATTCCGTGGAAGCCTCTCTCATAGGAAGCTTGGTTGTTTGGGCTGTGGTTGTAAATCTCTTCCTTATCTGGGGTGTGCTGTTTCTGCCAGTCTTTCTCTACAGTCCCAGATCCAATCCTGTGGTCCTGCTGACTGGGCTGGGCTGATTACTTTGCACCTTAGCCAGCTTTCTTAAGGCCAGTTTCTGGAATTCTCAAACAAGCATTATTTATTAGTCACAAGATCAGCAGTTAGCTTTTGTTACTGAGAATGGGGAAAAGGAAAGGAAAATGGATTTAGTAAAGATACAGCAGGTCAATGGAGGGGCAGAAGGTGGCTCACAGGCCTGGGGCTGCCAAGTCACTAGAAGCAGCTTCTCCAGGTTGTGAGGGACCTTGGTTACAATCAAGACATCTAGAAACAAAGCTTCAGCCATGGGGGACCACAAGTCCCATTCATTCTAACAATCCAGGGCTATTTCACTGCCAGAGTGATGGGCAAGGGCCCCAGCCAAATAAACATCAAAAGCAGATTTGGACAGAAAAGCCAGGTAAGCCAGAGCCCTTTGAAGATAATATTCGTCACTGCAGTTAACTCCAACTGTGGAGGACACAGGCAGGGGCCATGTCTTTCCCAGACTAGTCCTTCCTTCCCAGGCCTCCTGCCATCTGCCATTTATACCCCGCCCCTGCCCTGCCCTGAGGGTTTTTTTTTAAGATTTTATTTATTTGACAGGTAGAGTTACAGAAAGTGAGAGGGAGACACAGACAGAAAGGTCTTCCTTCCATTGGTTCACTCCCCAAATGGCCGCCACGGCCAGAGCTATGCCGATCCGAAGCCAGGAGCCAGGTGCTTCTTCTTGGTCTCCCATGCGGGTACAGGGGCCCAAGTACTTGGGACATCCTCCAGTGCCCTCCCGGGCCATAGCAGAGAGCTGGATTGGAAGAGGAGCAGCCGGGACTAGAACCGGCGCCCATATGGGATGCCGGCGCTGCAGGCAGAGGATTAACTTACTGCACCACGGCACCGTTTTGTTTTAAGATTTATTTATTTATTTGAAAGGCAGTTCGGGGCTGGCGCTATGGCTCACTTGGCTAATCCTCCGCCTGCGGCGCTAGAATCCCATATGGGCACTGGGTTCTAGTCCCGGCTGCTCCTCTTCCAGTCCAGCTCTCTGCTGTGGCCCGGGAGGGCAGTGGAGGATGGCCCAAGTGCTCGGGCCCTGCACCCGCGTGGGAGACCAGGAGGAAGCACCTGGCTTCTGGCTTCGGATCGGCGTAGCTCCTGCTGTGGCGGTCATTTGGGGGGTGAACCAACGGAAGGAAGACCTTTCTCTCTGTCTTTCCCTCTCACTGTCTGTAACTCTACCTGTCAAATAAATAAAATAACTTTAAAAAAAAGAAAGAAAGAAAGGCAGTTACAGAGAAGCAGAGGCAGAGCGAGAGCGAGAGTCTTCCACCTGCTGGTTCACTTCCCAGATGGCTGCAATGGCTGGAGCTGGGCCTGTGGGAAGCCAGGAGGTTCTTCCAGGTTTCCCAAGTGGGTGCAGGGGTCCAAGCACTTGGGCTATCTTCCACTGCTTTCCCAGGCCACAGCAGAGAGCTGGATCAGAAGAGGATCATCTGGGACTTGAACCAGTGCCCACATGAGATGCTGGCACTGCAGGTGGCAGCTTTACCCTCTACGCCATGGCACTGGCCCTATGCCCTGGGTTTAGAAACGCAAAGGAGGGGGCTGGCTCTGGGGCTGGCATCCCATATGGGCGCTGGTTCAAGTCCCAGCTGCTCCACTTCTAATACAAGTCCCTGCTAATGCACCTGGGAAAGCAATGGAAGATGGCCCAAATCCTTGGGTCCCTGTACCCACACGGGAGACCTGGAAGAAACTCCTGGCTCCTGGCTTCAGATCGGCCCACCCCCGGCCCTTGTGGATATTTGGGGAATGTGCCAGTGGATGGAAGAAACACAAAGGAAAGCAGGGCCCACAGTGGCTGTGTCTGCTTTTCCTGACTACCACAGGTGGAAGTGGGGCCCAATTCAGAGGACAAAATGGAGCATGACTTGAGGGAAGCCAGGTGGCTTGGGATGATCAGGATGTACTGAGAATCAAGGCCAGTTAGGGAATGGGAGGAGCCTTGGAGCTGAGGGATAATTGGAGTGAAGATGTGGAATCATCATTCACTTGTCTCATTCCTGAAGTTTCTTCCTAAATGGGGCAAGTGGGGATTGGGATGGGAGAGCACAACTTAAATTTTACTGTTTCCTGATGAGAAATCACTTGTCTCGGGCTGGCATTTTGAACAGTGGGTTAAGCCACTGCCTGTGAGATACTGGCATGCCATATTGGAGTGCTAGTTCAAGTCCTGGCTGCTCCACTTCTTCTTTGAAGATTTATTTATTTATTTGAAAGAGTTACACAGAGAGAGAAGGAGAGGCAGGGGGTGGGGGGAGAGGGAGAGAGGTCTTCCATCTGCTGGTTCACTCCCCAGCTGGCTGCAATGGCCAGAGCTGGGCCAATCTGAAGCCAGGAGCCAGGAGCTTCCTCTGGGTCTCCCTCATGGGTGCAGGGGCCCAAGGACTTGGGCCATCTTCTGCTTTCCCAAGCCATAGCAGAGAGCTGGATTGGAAGCAAAGCAGCTGCCCATATAGAATGCCAGCACTGCAGGCGACAGCCTTATCCACTATGCCACAGCACTGGCCCCTGCTCCACTTCTGATCTACCTCCATGCTAATGTGTCTGTGACAGCAGCAGAGGAGGGACCAAGTGCTTGGATCCCAGCCACCCACATGGGAAATGTGGATGGAGTTCCAGTGCTCCTGGCTTAAGCCTGGCTCAGACCTGGCTATGGAGGCCCTTTGGGGAGTGATGCAGCAGATGGAAGATAGCTCTCTCAATAAATCCTTAAGAAGGAAAAAAAAAAAAAAGAAAACCTTTGTCTCCAAAGCCAAAGTTCTTAGAACTTCATAACTCTCCATGGACCAAGTTAGCAATGAGATTCCTGCAATCAGAAAAAGCTGCATCGAGCCCCTTGGGTAGCTCCCAGTGATAGGGGCTCTTGGGGCTCCTGGAAAGGAAAGGAAGAAATAAACATGATGTAACCCTTCAGGAGCCCCAAGGGAGGAGGAGACACAATCTTCAGATGTTGTCATGTCTGCCTCATGGATCTGATTGAGCACTCTGCAAACTTCTATAGAAAACAGTCTACTTTTAGTCAGTTCCCTGATGGGTTCACCTTGAATGCCTCATTAGCATACATGTCAACCTCCTTTAGAAACATAAAAGTCTGAGCTAGGCGTTCTTGAGCAGCAGGTCTGGGCAAGTAGCCCTCCAGGACAGGCAACTGCAGGACAGGCCCTCCAGGCTGCTGGAGAGCTTTCTCTACTTCTTTCAACAAACATCCTTTACTTTGTTCACCCCTTCCTTGTTTGTGTGCCTCATTCTTCATGGTCACGAGACAAAGAACCCAGCAGAGAAGAGAAGTTGTAACACAGAAGACTGCAGTATTCCTTGATGGATCCAGCAGAGGAGGGAAGCTGTGATCCAGAAGAATGCAATGCTTGATGAACCCGGCAGAAAGGAGAAGCTGTGACCCAACAGGAGACACTGGAACACAGAGAGCCGCAACACAGAGAAGAACTGCAACACACCAAGCTGGAACCTGGAAGCTGTGCTGTTCCTGAAGACTCTGATGCAAAGAAGAATCTGCCACACCTCTCAGGGATGAGATGCGGACAGAACCACTGGAGCCATAGACCTCTCCTGCCACTACCCCTGCAACACCGACACCAGAAGTCTTGCAACGCCAGCACGCAGAAATAGCAAGCCAGCCTTCTGAGAGGTGTCTTCAGCTCCTGCTATGTGCCAGCGCCAAGGAAGATGATAGAGCTGCCATTCTGGTGCCAAACACCGAGAAAACAATTTCAGAAATTGGTTCCTGCTGTTTGGTTAGTGTCAGTACGTGGGGGAGGGCACTGAGAAATAAATGTGAGCTGGGGATGAAAAGGAGCCAGATATGCAATGCTCTCAACTGCTGAATGTGAGAATAAGTTGGCTGATGAGGCTTATCATCAGCAGGAAGTCATGAATTCATGAGGGATAGGACTGGGGTCACTCTGGTATTAAGATATCAAATTGAGGTGAGCATTTGGTACAGCAGTTAAAACGCTATCATTACATCCCAAATGTGTCTAGCCTTTGATTCTTATTTTTTTCTGCTAATACATTGAAGTACATCTCCTCTTTTCAAATGTTCAGCCACCCTTACTTTCCTGGGTGAGGCTCCACCTGGTTGTGGTGACACTTTACATTAATTTACTTTTTTAAAGATTTATTTTATTTGAAAGGCAGAGTTAGAAAGGTGGGAGGTGGGGAGACAGTTTCCATCCACTGGTTCACTCCTCCAGATGGCTGAATTGGCCAGAGCTGGGCCAGGCTGAAGTCAGGAACTTCACCCTGGTCTCCCCATGGGTGCAGGGGTCCAAGCACTTGAGCCATCCTCTGCTGCTTTCCCATGTGCATTAGCAGGGACCTGGGTGGGAAGCAGAGCTGCCCATATGAAATACTAGCTTGTAGGCTGTAGTATGCTACAAAGTGTGCTCTGACACTTTGCATTTATTCAGCACTTGCTACACTGATCCTCCATAAGCATCACAGCCCCATTTTGAAGATAAGGAAAGCGAACTGGCCAGAGGTGCAGAAAGCATTGGAATGAGTATTTGGGCTTCGGCAGGAAGTAGAACTGGAGTAAGTTTCTTTTCTTTTTTTTCTTTTTTTTTTTTTAACAGGCAGAGTGGACAGTGAGAGAGACAGAGAGAAAGGTCTTCCTTTGCCGTTGGTTCACCCTCCAATGGCTGCCACGGCCGGCGCGCTGCGGCCGGCGCACCGTGCTGATCCAATGGCAGGAGCCAGGAGCCAGGTGCTTCTCCTGGTCTCCCATGGGGTGCAGGGCCCAAGCACTTGGGCCATCCTCCACTGCACTCCCTGGCCACAGCAGAGAGCTGGCCTGGAAGAGGGGCAACCGGGACAGAATCCGGCGCCCCGAACGGGACTAGAACCCGGTGTGCTGGCGCCACTAGGCGGAGGATTAGCCTATTGAGCCGCGGTGCCGGCCGTCTTTGCCATCTTATGTGTTCTGTTTCTTTGCTTTATCACACTTGCTGGAAATTCCAGTATGTTATTGAATCAGGAGTGGAAAGAGACTATAACCTTCCTTTGTTCCCAGTTGTAGCACAGGAAGGAAACAGTCTCTCACCATGAAGTGTGCTGCTGTAAGTAAGTTTCTTATCCTGAGTGCCAGAACCTCCCCCCCACCACCTCCACTGGTAACCTTGCCTCAGTCTGCACATCTCTGGCATTCAGTCCCCAATCTCTTTCCACTCCTGGCTCCCTTCTGACCTCCCAGACTGGCATTCCCACCCTGAAGTTGGCAATGGCTTTCAGCCTTCTGTCTGACCTCGTCTGGCGGTGCTCTCAGGCCATCAGACTAGGCTCTAGCTGCACTGGCTTCCCGTCGCATGCTTTGAACCTTGCACAGCATTTCTGGTATCTGGATTGCTGTCTCCTACACACTCACTTCGCTGACATCTCCTGATCCTGTGGAAATAGACTAATAATGAGCACTTTGAACACCTACAACAAGCACTGTTATTTTTTTTTTAATTTAAAAAAATTTTTTTTGACAGGCAGAATGGACAGTGAGAGAGAGAGAGACAGAGAGAAAGGTCTTCCTTTTGCTTGTTGAGTCACCCTCCAATGGCCACCGTGGTCAGCGCATTGCGCTGATCCAAAGGCAGGAGCCAGCTGCTTTTCCTGGTCTCCCATGCGGGAGCAGGGCCCAAGGACTTGGGCCATCCTCCACTGCACTCCCGGGCCATAGCAGAGAGCTGGTCTGTAAGAGGGGCAACCGGGACAGAATCCGGTGCCCCTACCGGGACTAGAACCCGGTGTGCCGGCGCCACAAGGCGGAGGATTAGCCTAGTGAGCCACGGCGCCGGCACAAGCACTGTTCTAAGCACTTGATCCAAATAGAAAACCTGGTTGAATCCTCACAATGACCCTGTGAAGTTGGTGCTATTACCATCTGTTGTCGTAGATGGGAAAATGCAGGCAGAGTGGTGATGCGACCTGCCCATGCGCACACATCAGATAAGCAATGGACTTGAAGAGTCACAGCCTGGCCACCTGGTTCCACAATCCTTCCTCTTTAACCCCTACGCCGACACCCGCCACCAAGTTACTTTGTGTGGGCTCCTCTAGTGTGCATCAAAGTACTTTCTGTCCCCCAACTCCCCTCAGCAACCCCTGCCAGCTCCACCTTCGGAAGATACCAGAACCTGACCTCTGCTCTCCCATGTGCACTCTCCCACTGGTCTTGACTTCTGTCCTGACACAGCTCCCCTGTCTGTCCTCAGGGCAACCAGAAGGAATCTAGTACAAACCACGCTGACCCACAGCCCTCTGCTTGGCTCCCATCTCTCAGAGAAGAAGCCAGGTTCTTCTCCATGGCCTACAGGCCCTCCAGAACCTCTCCAACCTCCCCTCCTATCCCTAGCAGTGTTACTCTGTGCCGGCCCTGCTGACCTCCTTGCTACTGTTCCTGACACATACCAAGCAAGCTCCTACCTCAGTCTTTGCACCTACTTGCTTTACCTTCTGCCTACAATTCTCTTTTCCCATGTGTTGAGGCACGCTAAGGTTGACAGATTTGACCAGAAAAGAAATGAGCCCTTAAGATCAGCACACTGGCGTAACGTGTTAGGCCCCCACCTGCAATGCCACCATCCCATATGAGCAGTGGTTTGAGTCCTGGCTGCTCTGCTTCTCATCCAGCTCCCTGCTAGTGCACCTGGGAAAGCAGCAAACAGTGGCCCAAGTACTTGGGTGCTTGCTACCCATGTGGGAGAACTGGATGGGGTTCCAGGCTCCTGGCTTTGGCCTGGTGCAGCCCTGGATGTTGTAACCATTTGGGGAGTGAACCAGTGGGATAGAAGATCTCCCCCCTCCCTGTACATTTGCCTTTCAAATAAATAAGTAAATATGTAAAAAATGAGCCCTTGGTATAGTCAGATGTTACTTAGGCACCAAAAACAGAGAGGTTCCCGCTCATGTCTCCTGTGTCAGCCAACATGGCGGTAAAGGGGGCTGAAGGAGTGCATGGCAGATGCTAGGACATCGTCTGCCAAGCAGCCAAGTTCACGCTGCAGCTACGCATTTCTCCAGCACAGAGTCGGGGGCGAAGACGACCAGAACACCCCAGACCTGCCCAGAACCTCAGGAGGCGAGAGGGAAACCATCTCACGACAGCCTCCCTGGTACATGCGAGATGAACAGCCAACGGCCAATGGCCTCGCGCTGGCTCCTCACAGGCTGCGGCCTGTCCTGACAAGCACAGCGTGTCCTGCCGACACTGAGATGAGCTTATCCACGTGGCCTGTGCGGAGACAAGGTAGCCAGGCCACCACGCTGGAGCCATTCCCTCAGACCAGCTCCATGCTGCTTTATTTCCCTCGAGGCAGTCCACTCCCCAGTGTCACATTATACTGGACTTCTTTTTAATTTCTTTACTTTTAAAGACTCATTTATTTATTTGAAAGGCAGAGTTATAGAAAGGGAGAGAGAGGTCTTCCTTCTGCTGGCTCACCCCCCAAATGTGCTGATCTGAAGCCAGGAGCCAGGAGCTGTGTTCAGGTCTCCCACGTGGGTGCAGAGGCTCAAATGCCTGGACCATCCTCCACTGCTTTCCCAGGCCATAGGCAGAGACCTGGATGGGAAGTGGAGCAGCCAGGACTCGAACTGGTGCCCATATGGGATGCCGGCACTTCAGGCCAGGGCTTTAACCTGCTATGCCACAGCACCAGCCCTTCTTTTAGTTTGTTATAAGTAGACCCCAGCAATACATGAATCCTGAGAAAGAGCTGTCATACGTGTTGCCCTGTTCCTGGTAGTATTATATGACAACACACAACACACGCTGCCACTTACTCCATGACCACTAGCAGGCGCTGTGCTGGTGTTTCCCACAGCATAGCTCCTTTCATGGGCCGCCTTTATCATCCCTGTGTTACAGGCGAGGAGACCAAGGTTTTTCAAAGTCCTAGGTTTTAGAGAAGGGAAGGCGTGACTTCTGGTGCTGGGCAAACAGAGGGCTGTAACTGGGGAGGGGAATCAGGGAGCGGGGGTTCCAGGACCAGTATGTGGAAAATACCAACGTAATGAACCAGTCAATGTCAGAGGTCAAGTAGAAGCCTGCATGTTTACAACAGGGTTTCCTGGGGCCTTGCAAGTAGAACTGCCTGTAGCTGTGGACTGTCTGTCACCTGACAGACCTGACAGCTGCACCCGACCCATGCCACTGTGGCAACTGAACAAACTGCACCACTCACAGTTTTCTATTATAATTTAATTTTTTGAAGATTTATTTATTTATTTGAAAGTCAGAGTTACACAGAGAGAGAAGGAGAGGCAGAGAGAGAGAGAGATAAGTCTTCCATCTGCTGGTTCACTCCCCTGTTGGCCATAACAGCCGGAGCTGCGCTGATCCGAAGCCAGGAGCCAAGAGCTTCTTCCGGGTCTCCCACATGGGTGCAGGGGCCCAAGGACTTGGGCCATCTTCCACTGCTTTCCCAGGCCACAGCACAGAGCTGGATTGGAAGAGGAGCAGCCAGGACTACCAGCGTCCATATGGGATGCTGGCACTGCAGGCAGCAGTTTTACCTGCTACACCACAGTGCCAGCCCTTATAATTTAATTTTTTTTTCCAGGTTCATAATTTATTGTACAAATTGAATTACCACATATTGAGTTGACATTAGCTTCTCCAGGCATGGGAACTTAGCAGATGTGGTACAATTTATAATCCATTTATGTTGCTTTCACAGCTGAAGTTTTTTTAGACCTTAACTTGAAGTATAAGACCAGCAAAGCAATGCCTCCATATGTAGCCAGTACATAATTCATTCTTCCCGTGAGAGTGTAAGAGTTGAAATATTTTTTAATACCAGTGAACTGGAATTGAGCATCAGTTTCTGGACCTGCCATGATTTCAATCGAAGCCTCAAATTCCGCAGCCGACGTCCTTCAACACACACAGAACCCTCTCTATAATTTAATTTTTAAAAAGGATTTATTTGGGGCCGGTGCTGTGGCATAGCAGGTAAAGCCACCGCCTGCAGTGCTGGCACTCCACATGGGTGCCGGTTTGAGTTCTCGCTGCTCCTCTTCCAATCCAGCTCTCTGCTATGGCCTGGGAAAACAGAAGATGGCCCTGCACCCATGTGGGAAGACTCAGAAGCTCCTGGCTCCTGGCTTCTGATTGGCCCAGCTCGGGCTATTGTAGCTATTTGGGGAATGAACCAGGGGACGAAGACTACTCTCTCTCTCTCTGCCTCCACCTCTCTGTAACTCTCTGTCTCTCAAATAAATAAATCTTTTAAAAAACAGATTTTACAATTAAAAAAAAAAGATTTATCTATTTCAAAGATGGAGTTATAGAAATAGAGAGAAAGAGGAGAGACAGAGATCTGTCTTCCATTGTGTGGTTCACTCCCCAAATGCCTGCAACAGCTGGTGCTGGGCCAGGCTAAATCCAGGAGTCTGGAACTTCTGGGTTTCCCACATGGGTGCAGGGGCCTAAGCACTTGGTCCATCTTCTGCTGTGTCCCCAGGCACGTTAGCAGGGAGCTGGATTGGAAGTGGAGCAGCCAGGACTTGAACCTGTGCCCCATGGGATGCTGGCATTGCAGGCTGTGGCTTCAACCCGCTGTGCCACAGTGCCAGCCCCTATAACTTAATTTTTCAAATTTATTTTTGCTTATTTGAAAGGCAGAAGACACAGTGGGAGGGGAGGAGGGACTGAGGTATATACTAAGTCTATCATCTGTATATAAAGATAATTAAAAATAAATCTTAATGAAGAATGGGATGGGAGAGGGAGTAGGAGATGGGATGGTTTGTGGGTGGGAGGGTAGTTATGGGGGGAAAATCCGCTATAATCCAAAAGTTGTACTTTTAAAATTTATATTAAATAAAAATTTACTTAAAAAAACATAAATCTCCCTCCAGGGGAAAAAAAAAGGCAAAAAGCTCTTAAGACATTAGTGTTGGTAATAATTTTTTTTTTGGACATGCCACCAAAAGCACAGGTAATAAAAGGAAAACCTCACAAGTGGGCATACAAACAATGTTCCTGTCCAGCAAAGGAAACCTACAGAATAGGAGAAAACATCTGCAAGCTACTTACCTGGTAAAAGGTTAATATCCCCCCAAATATAGGGAACTTATACTAGTAAATACCATGGCTTACGAACTCCATCCATCCATCCATCCATACAACAATGATCCAATTGAAAAATAGGCAGGGGACATTAATAGACATTTCTCCAAAAAGATACCAATGGCTAACAGTTACATGAAAAGCCACTCAACATCACTAATTATTAGGGAAATGCAAATCAAAACCACCATGACATGTCATCTCACGTCTGCTCCAACAGTTGTGTTTAAGTCAAAAGGCAGGGTGGGGGCTGGCATTGTGGTGCAGCAGGTGAAACCGACATCCCATATGAGCACTGGTTCCAGACCTGGATGCTCCATTTCAGATCCAGCTTGCTGCTAATGTACTGAAGAAAGCAGTGGAAGATGGCCCAATTACTTTGGGCCCCTGCACTCATGTGGAAGAACCAGATGGAGGTCTTGGCTTCTGGCTTCAGCCTGGCCCAGCCCTGGACATTGAAACCATTTGGGGAATGAACCAGTGAATGGAAGATCGATCGATCTCTGCATTTCAAATAAATAAGTCTTATAAAGATAAAAGTGGGTGTTGTGGTGCAGTGAACTAAGTCGTTGCTAAGGATGCCAACATCTCATATCAGAGGGCCAGTTCTAATCCTGCCTACTCTACTTCCAATCCAGCTCCCTGCTAATGCTCTGGAGAAGGCACTAGAAGATGGGCCCATGCGGATTATGTGGAAGACCCGGATGGAGTTCCTGGCTCCTGACTTCAGCCTGGCCCAGATCTGCTATTATAGCCCTTTGAGGAGTGAACCAGCCAATGGAAGATCTGACTGTTGCTCCTTCAAGTAAGTAAATAATTTTTAAAGGAAATAAACTCAGAAAGCAAAGATGAAGTAAAAAAAAAAAATACAAAAAGCTTCCACCGACAAATGACTAAGATTTGTTAAACAGTTAAGTTTGGAGTGTAGAGGCACTGATTTCAGAATACAAACATTTGCATAGAGGAGAGGCAGTGACTTCAGGATATAAACATTTAAAACATGTTTCTATGTATCTCAACAACCAAAGAAAAAAGTCAGAGCAGGGACTGTGGCACAGTGGGTGCCACTGCCAGCCCATACTGGAGCACTGATTTTCTTCCCAGCTGCTCTGCTTCTGAGCCAGCTCCCTGCTAACGGCTGGGAAGGCAGCAGCAGGTGGCCCAAGTGCTTGGACCCCTGCACCCACGTGGGAGGCCTGGATGGAGTTCCTGGCTCCTGACTTCAGCAGCCTGGTCCAGCTCTAGGTGTTGTGGCCATTTGGGGAGTGAACTGGTTTGGGTAAACTTTATTTCTGTCACTCCAACTTTCAAATAAATAAATCTTTTAAAAAAAAAAAGGTCTACTGGGTGAAGAGTAGATAAACTTGCATTCTCAAATAGGCACATTCCCCAAGTAAATGTTTCTGTAGGAGTTAAGCCTCAGTGGACCAGTCAGGGAAATCGATAATGTATATGATGTGGGATGAATGGGCAGTGAGCGACAAGACATGGAGACTTCCAGCAGTCTCTCTACATAGACCCCACACTGCAAATTCAGCATACCCACTATCCCATGATATACCTGAGCCTCCGCCATCACAAGACACCATAATTTTTTTTTTTTTTTTTGGACAGGCAGAGTGGACAGTGAGAGAGACAGAGAGAAAGGTGTTCCTTTGCCGTTGGTTCACCCTCCAATGGCCGCCGCGGCTGGTGCGCAGTGCCTATCAGAAGGCAGGAGCCAGGTGCTTCTCCTGGTCTCCCATGGGGTGCAGGGCCCAAGCACTTGGGCCATCCTCCACTGCACTCCCAGGCCACAGCAGAGAGCTGGCCTGGAAGAGGAGCAACCGGGACAGAATCCGGCGCCCCGACCGGGACTAGAACCCGGTGTGCTGGCGCCGCTAGGCGGAGGATTAGCCTACTGAGCTGCGGTGCCAGCCACAAGACACCATAATTAACAGGTGTGTTGAGCTCCACCCACAAAACCTTCCCAGAGATCACCAGGAGCACTTAACCCCACCCAAATTCCACCACCTTTGTGTATTAAATTAGGGAACTGCATCTTACAAGATAAAGGGGGTTACTGAACTGGGGTGGTGCTAGATCCTCCTCCAAGGTTGCCCACATTTAGTTGAGTGTGTGTACCATCTCTTTAAATAAGCCTTGCTTTTATTCTTGCACTTTGTCTGCTTTGGATTTTTTTAAAGATTTATTAATTTGAAAGGCAGAGAGAGGTCTTCCATCCACTGGTTCACTCCTCACATGGCTGTGCCAGAGCTGTGCTGATCCAAAGCCAGAAGCTTCTTCTAGGTCTCTTGTAGGCGTGCAGGGGCCCAAGGATTTGGGCCATCTTCTGCTTTCCCAGGCCACAGCAGAGCTGGATCAGAAGTGGAGCAGCCAGGTTTGAACCAGTGCCCATATGGGATGCCAGTACTGCAGGCAATGGCCTTACCTGCTATGCCACAGCACCGACCCCTGGATTCATTTCTTACACCTTGGAGTAAATCCATCTGGGGACCCCCACATGTCCCAGCAAAGTGGCTGTTTAAAATATTTATTTGAAAGAGAAAGGAGAATGAATCTCCCATCTGCTGGTTTACTCCCCAAATGGCCACAGCTGGGCGGGCTGAAACCATGAGCCAGAAGCTTTTTGCAGTTCTCCCACGTGGGTGCAGGGGCCCAAGCACATTAGTAAGGAGCCAGATTGGAAGTGCAGCAGCCAGGACTCTAACCGGGCCCATACCAGCCCCAAAAACATTTGGTAAAGTAGCAAAAATTGTCTTGTGCACTGTGCACTTCAGGTATTGTAGCGTTCAAACCAGCATCCAAAGTAACCAGGTCGCATGACCTCTGGATAGCACAAGTTGATGTGGGGATTCCTGTCCCTAAACCCCTCTGCTACTCTTGCTTTCCTTTTTGCCAAATGTTTTCTTGGTAGGATGGACCTGCTGACTTTTTACTTTACAGTTTAACCCACATGCTGGTTTTCCAGCCTTCAGTATGAGTAAAAGGATGCAAGAACTTAAAGGACTCTTCAATGGTATATTAGAAATGTCTATTCAGAACAGTGTCAAGAATTTTTAAGACATTGTAAGTCTTATGTATTTGGAAGTATACACTTTTTTTAAGAAAAGATTTATTTGCAAGGCAGAGTTAGAGAGACAGTCTTCCATCTGCTGGTTCGCTCCCCAAATGGCTGCGCCAGACTCCATCTGGGTCTTCCACGTGGGCAGCAGGGGCCCACACGCTCAGGCCATCTTCTGCTGCTTTCCCAGGCATATCAGTGCCGCCACTTCTGGCACCAGCAGCCTTGTGTGAGCCCCCACTGCTCCACTCATGATCCAGCTCACTGATGCACCTGAGAATGGCCCAAGTGCTTGGGCCCCTGCATCCATGTGGGAGACTTGGCAGAAGGCTCCTGGCTTCTGATCTGCCCAGCTCCAACTGCTGCTGCCATTTGGGGAGTGAACCAGTGGATGGTAGATCTGTCTCTGCCTCTTAACTCTTTCAAGTAAAATAAACCTTAAACTTGAGGTCTCCATCCTTTTGGTAGTCCATGCTCACTTGCCTACCGGATCTTTCCCAAGTTTCCTTCCTCCTGGATCGGCTCTGAAATTACAAACTTGGCTGAATAAGGAAACAGCATTTGTTTTCAGGTTTCAGCTTTTATTCATCTTAATGAAGAACATCCTAAACATCATGAGACACAACAGAATGCTTTTTTTTCTTCCACCATTTAAAAAAAAAAAGACATTTACCAACATTTCGAAGAAGCTCTTCTCTATAACCTTGGCAATGTAAAAAAGGCCCTAAAGTTATCATGTTGATGCAGATTTCTTAAGTGTGTTTGGAAACTGCTTCCTATGATAAACATTTGTATAAGATTTCTAAAAACATTTTTTGATACAAATAAAAAATAAAAAAAGTCTGACCAAATTGGTTTTTTTCTGGCCAGAAGCAATAATCCTGAGAGTCTAAACTAATAAAGTAGTGAAAAGAAAAATGCTCAGGCCCTGCCAATGTCCTATTATCTTTAAATGGGAGAAAAAAATTTTTACAATAAAACATGGAGCTTTCTAAAAGGTCTTTAACAAGCTACCCTGGGAGCTCAATTCAAAAATAAAGTTGATATACTAAGATGTTTCAGTGCAGCTCCAAAAAAAAAAAAATCGTTATAAATAGACGTTTGGAAGGATGATCCTGGATCAGAAGTGTTATTCCTTGTGTATCTGAGAACAGTAAGAAGGGGGAGAATTATCTCTGGCAGCAGCAGGCTGACAGCATACTCACCTCCCAGAGGTGATAAAGATGCTGAGGGCTGGACACTGGGGACATACCCCTTACTCCCAACCCCAAGAGTAGAGGATTAAAATGGGTTTTCATAATCTCCCCCAAAGCAGACCAACCCTGACATGCACTGCAAGCAAAAAAGGCCCAGAAATGCTGGGTGGGTAAGGGATGCGAGGGAAGAAATGCTAACAGTCTGGAAGGAAGGCAGAGAGAAGCACAGCAGGGTTCGACAGACGGAGGTCTGCTCACTGCCCAAGTCCAGGCCTCACCTACGGTATGGGCACACACTGCATCTCAGTTGTCATAATTGTCCCTGTAGTTTCCTCCTGAGTAGCGTTCGTAACCACCCTGGCTTCTGGGGAAAAGCACGTGAGCTTTACACGAACATTATACACAGCTATGTATGTCATGTTAACTGAATGCATAAAACAGGACACAGCAACTTCAAGACTATGTCTAGGGAACACAGCTTCATGCATACAAGTTACACGTACCGTATTAAATTCTATCACGTTTGGTGCACTAGAGTCACCAATCAAATACAGCACAATCAACACAAAAGTATTACCACTCAGTCCTGGTGCGATCAAATGACCACACAATGCATTACGTAACACAAAATGTTGTAGTTCATACCCGTCCTTAGTGCACACTAGTAACACCTAGGTGTGACAGGCGTGCGGATCCCCAGGCAGCTGAGCGCTTAGGGACAGAGGAGCGGAGCACCCCACCCCACCCCACCCCGACTACCAACCTGCCACCGTAGTCCCGGGACCGTCCATATCCGTATCCATATCCTCCAGGTCGAGAGTCATACCTGCTGCTCCCATAGCCCTGGTCCCCACCACCTACAGCAGGTGAGAAATATTTAAGCAGCAGTTGTCCAGACACACGGCACTAATAGGCGGATGCCCCACACGCCAGGATCAAACTGACTACACACTCACCTCTGGAGTAGCTGCGACCACGCCCATGGGCCCCAAAGGCACCCCCTCTGGTTCCCCGGGCAGACTTGCCTGCGTGGTCCACGCGGATCTGCCGACCATCCAGGGACTAGGCGTGGCAGGGAGACACAAGGAGGGCGGATTGGCAGTCAGTCAGGGCAGTGGCGAGCTCAGAGCGGGCATGGGCAGGTGGGCCTAAGAGCCCAGAAATTCCTGCTGGGCACCAGGTTCTGGGTGCCATGTTCCAGAACAAGCTCCTTTGACCAGAATGGCTTCATCAGGAGCTACAGCATCCCACAAAATGACCTGTATCCACCGTGTTCCCCCTGCCACTACTTACATCTTGACTGAACTCAGGCTGAGTTCTCCTCCCCACTCCTCTAAGCTGCCCGACTATTAGGGCTAGACAGACACCTCTCTTGGTTTGAGGCTTCCGAGTCCATCCCAGAAGACTCACGAGGTCCTCTCCGGGCCAGGCCCACAGGTCTGCAGACTCTACTACCTAAGCCCAGGGCAGGTCAACCATCCACAGGTGGCTTCTCGGCCTCATGCAGGACCAGTCGTCGCCTCCCAGGCAGCCCGGCTCTGTGTGCCGCTGCCCTCCACCCCCTAGAACAGAAGGCAGTCACGCTCCTGTGAGTGGGCACTGCGGGGCTTGGTGGCCACGCTGCCCCTAGCAGACACAGAGGGAAAAACAGAAGGAACGGAGGAACGGCAGATGGGGACAGGGCCCCTCTGCAGGCAGAAGGCCTCACCTCTCCATTCATGGCTCTCATGGCGTCAGAGGCGTGCTCTGGGTTTGTGAAGGTGATGAAGCCAAAACCCCGGGATCGCTGAGTCTCCCGGTCCTTGACAACGACCACTGCGGGAGGAGAGAGATGGGAAAGGCAGTGACGAGGGTGGCCTGCAAAGCAGGGACCAACACAATCTCACGGAGTCCTCCGAAATGTACACTTCAGGCCTAGGAACGCGGGAAAAGGATAAATCGACCGTCTGGGTCCTCCCTGAACGTTCCCTGACATGACCTGCTCCATCATCGCGGGTCCGACTCCAAGTCTCACCCTCAGAAATAGGCCCGAAGCTGCTGAAGTGGTCTTCCAGCGCTTGCTCATCGGTGTTGAAGTTAAGCCCTCCAATGAACAGCTTCCCTTCTTCAGAGGACATGGCAATGAGTTCGAGTCCTGCGGGGAACGGAATGGACCAGGGTATTCAAAAAAAAAGGTCAGGCAAACTAAGGATTAAAGAGATACACAGAAAATACACAAAAAGGAACAAAATAATGAATGGGTGCAATCTGAAAGGGAAGGAAAATCTACCGGTTTAGAGGAGTCGCCATTTGAAGGCCGCCATTGCGCATGCCCACAACCTCCCAGGTGCCACGCCCGTCATTTTGTACTGCTGCGCAGACTCAGAACACTCGCGCGTTTCCTCCGCGCGCGCACAAGATGGCGGCGATCACGTGGGGAGCGCGGGGGGGGGTGTTGTCCCAGTGTCCCGGCCGTCGTGTGGTCACTACTGCCCCGGACGCTGGCAGCCTTTCTCTGCACTTAGGTAAAGCGCGCCAAGCTCCCAACAACCGACATGTTTCATGTGTACGCACGAAACCCGCCGCCCACCCCGACCAACGCCTAAGCATACGTGTCAGCGGCTGCTCCCTTCCCCACCCGCGCCCCTTCCTCCTGGCCGCCGCAGCATACCAAGGGAGTCGTTCTGCGAGATTTACTTTGCTTACCTAAAAATTAAAAAGTAAAAGCGGCAGGCAAATGGCCACCTCGCGGGAGCAGAGAGAACAGGGAAGCAGCCGTGCGCGAAGACGCCTGATAAAGCACACGTAGAGGGCACGTCACGGGACGTCCTCCCCCACTCCGTCAACGTGCTATGGCGTGCCTGTTCACTGGCTGAGGCCAGAGGAAGGGTGGAGAGGAAGGGATGGCAGAGCGAAGGGAACAAGCCTCTCCGTGCGCGCCCGGGAATGGAGCCCACGTTTTTGCAATTGGTGCCCCCTAACGGCAGCCTCCTGCCTGCGTCTGAGACACTTTGTTCCCTTGCGCGCGGAAACCATTTAGCTCTCACATCCCTTTCTGTTCCTATCACCCTCACTGTCCTTGATGTCATTTTTTCCACTTGGCTCCGGTAGCCTCCTAACATCCCTGCCAACGTATTTGCCGTGCTCTGCTCTCAGCCTCCGTCATCTTCTAGTCCCCTCCCCTCATATCCCTTAAGGGCCTGACGTTCCCATCGCTCTTGCCTTAGACCCTACCTTTTCTCAGTTTCTGCTTTTAACTCGTAGGTTTTCTCCTGTGTGACCCACATTTAGCCGCTTGCCCTGGCACCCTTTATCCCGGCGTCATTCCTTTGTATCTCTGACGTCAGCCCTCATTCTCTCTGCTTGCCCATGAAGCCACCCTCTACAGGAACTGCCTGAGATGCTTTCTACAAAACGTGACGCCTGGGTCAGGTGCTGTGGTGTAGTAGGCTAAGCCTGTCTGCAGTGCCGATGTCCTGTATGGGCACTGTTTCATGTCCCGGGTGCTCCTCTTCTGATCCAGCTCTCTGCTATGGCCTGGGAAAGCAGTAGGAGATGGCTCCAGTCCTTGGGCCCCTGCACCTGCATGGGAGACCCTGAAGAAGCTCCTGGCTTCAGATCAGCCCAGCTCCAGCTGTTGTGGCAGTTTGAGGAGTGAACCAGCGATGGAAGACCTTTCCCTCTCTCTCCCTCTCTCTGTCTATGGAAGATTTTTTTCTGTCTCTCTCCTTCTCTCAAATAAATAAATAAAATATTTTTTTAAAAAGATTTTATTTATTTGAAGGGCAGAGTTACAGAGAGGCAGAGAGAGAGGTCTTCTATCCACTGGTTCACTCCAACGGAGCTGTGCCGATCCGAAGCCAGGAGCCAGGAGCTTCTTCCAGGTCTCCCATGCTGGTGCAGGGGCCCAAGGACTTGGGCCATCTCCCACTGCTTTCTCAGGTACATTTGCAGGGAGCTGGGTCACAAGAGGAGCAGCCAGGACACGAACCGGCACCCATATGGGATGCCAGAGCCACAGACAGAGGCTTAGCCTACTGCGCCACAGTGCCAGCCCCTACTGTGTGCTTCTAATCCAGCCTCCTGCTAATGGGCTTTCTGGCTCCTGGCTTTGGCCTGGCCCAGCCCTGGCTGTTGCTTGGAAGATTCTCTCTCTCTCTCTCTCTCTCTCTCTCTCTCTCTCTCTCTCTATATATATATATATATATATATATGTATCTGTCAAATTATATATGTTATATATAATATGTATATGTATATATCTGTCAAATTAAATTTTTGTAAAAGAAAATAAAGTACCTACAAATGAATTTAACCAAAAGTTTTTAGCGTTCATTTATTTATTTGGAAGGCAGTATGACATAGATGGAAAGAAAGATATCTTCCATCTGCTGGTTCACTCACCAAATGCCTGCAAAAGCCAGGGCTGGGCTCAATCCTGGTTTCCTACATGGGTGGCAGGGATCCAAGTACTTGAGCCATCACCTGCTGCTTCCCAGGATGCGCATAGCAGGAAGCTGGAATTGGAAGAGGAGCTGGGACTCACACCCAAGCACTCCCCTAGGGGCTGCAGGTGTCCCAAGTAGCACCTTGACCGTTGTACCAGAAGCCCGCCCCTATTTTCATATTTGTTATGGCTGGTGTAGGGAAATGCTTTTGACTTGTACAGGTTGGTCTTGTATCTGGAAACCTTCCTGAACTCTAATCAATCCTATTCGTTTTTCTGGTCACTTTATTGGTTCTTTAAGGTAGTCACTCATATCATTTGCACATTGAGTTTTATCAACTCCTTCCACCACTTATACTTAATTTCTTTCTTTCTGATAGCATCGGCCAGTTTTATACCAAGTACTAGGATTGAGAATGACCATCCATGCCCTGTTCCTGATGATAAAGAGAAAATGCATTTACAGTTTATTAGGCGGGGCCAGCACTGTGGAGTAGTGGGAAAAGCTGTCACCTGAAAGGCCAGCATCCACTACAGGTGCCAGTTCAGGTCGCAGCTGCTCCACTTCTGATCCAGCTCCCTGCTAGTGCAGCTGGGAAAGCAGCAGAAGATGGCCCAAGTGTTTGGACCCTGCACCCGTGTGGGAGACTTGGAGGAAACTCCCAGCTCCTGGCTTCAGCCTGGTCCAGCCCTGGCTGTTGCAGCCATTTGGTGAGTGAACCAGTGGATAGAAGTGCTCTCGCTCTCTCTCTCCTCTCTCTTAACTCTACAGTTCAAATAAATAACCAAATATTTAACAAATAGTTTATTGGGCATTTTTGCTCTCAGATTTTACCACAGAACCTTTATCAAGTTAAGGACATTCTGTTGTCTGCTAAGAGTTTTTCTTTATTTTTAAAAAATTTTTCACATTTTAAAAAGATTTATGTATTTATTTGAAAGGCAGCATTACAGACAGAGGCAGAGATAGAGACAGAGACAGAGACAGAGAGAGAGGTCTTCTATCTGCTGGTTCACTCCCCAGATAGCCGAAACTGCCAGACTAGGGCTGATCCAAAGCCAGGAGCCAGGAGCTTCTTCCAGGTCTCCCACGCAGGTGCAGGGACCAAAGGCCGTGGGCCATCTTCTACTGCTTTCCCAGGCCATAGCAGAGAGCTGGATCGGAAGTGGAGCAGCCGGGCCTAGAACCAGCGCCCATATGGGATGCCGGCACTGCATGCAGTGACTTTACCCACTACACCACAGCACTGGCCCATTTCTTTTTAATTTTTAATATCATAAACAGGGGGTTGGCATTGTAGCACACCTGGTTAAGCTGCCACTTGCAATGCCAGCATCCCATATAAGCACCACTTTGAGTCCTGGCTATTCTGCTTGGGATCTAGTTCCCTGCTAATGGCCTGGGAAAGCAGCAAAGGATGGCCCAGCACTTGGGCCCCTGCACCCACGTGGGTGACCTGTATGGGACTCAAGGCTCCTGGCATAGCCTGACCTAGCCCCAGCCATTGCAGCCATTGTGGGAGACCTAGCTGAAATTCCTGGTTCCCAATTTTGGCCTCAGCCAAGCCCTAGCCATCATGTGCATTCATGGAATGAACCAGTGGATGGGAGCAGCTCCTCCCCCGCCAATGGAAATCACAGGGTGGGGCACCCAAAGATATATACAGTTTTTGTTAATTTAAAATTGAACAAAAATAAAAAGGAGTGACCCTTTGGCACAGTGGTTAAGACACTACGTGGGTCACGCACGTCCCACGTTGGAGTGCCTGGGATTCAGTCCTGGCTTCACTCCTGATTCCAGCTTCTTGCTAAAGCACAGCCTGATGGCAGCAGATGCTGGCTCAAGTAGTTGGGTCCCTGCCAGCCATGTGGATGGAGATCCAGGCTCCTGGTTTCAGCCTAGCCCAGTCTCATCTGTCGTGGGCATTTAGAGACCAAAGCAGCACACAGGAGATCCTTTTGTCTGTCTGTCTCTCTGCCTTTAAAAATAACTACATTTGGGGCCGGTGCTGTGGTGCAGCGGGTAAAAGCCGCCACCTGCAGTGCTGGCATCCCATATGGACGCTGGTTCGAGTCCCGGCTGCTCCACTTCCAATCCAGCTCTCTGCTATGGCCTGGGAAAGCAGTGGAAGATGGCCCACGGCCTTGGGTCCCTGCACCTGCGTGGGAGACCTGGAAGAAGCTCCTGGCTCCTGGCTTTGGATTGGCACAGCTCCAGCTGTTGTGGCCAATTGGGGAGTGAACCAGCAAATGGAAGACCTCTCTCTGTGTCTCTCTGCTTCTCCTTCTCTCTGTGTGTAATTCTGATTTCCAAATAAATAAATAAATAAATATCTTTAAAAAGTAAAAATAACTACTTTTTTAAAAATTAAAAATAAAATTTTTTTAAGTTAGAAAAAGAGCAGAGGAACAAACTGAAAGGATTAAGTCATGGAGGAAATAGAAGTGTGGAAATAAGTGCAATAGAGGATGAAAAAGTAATACATAAATGAAAAAGCTGCTTCTCAGAGGGGCCCATATTGTACTCAGCAGGTTAAGCCACTACTTACAAGGACAGCATCTCATATCGGAGTGCCAATTTGCATTCTGGCGAATTTGCTTCTGATCCAGCTTCCTACTAATCCACTTAGGAAAGTGATGGATCTTCTGTGTGGGGGACCCAAATACTGGGGCCATCTTCTGCTGCTCTCCCAGGCACATTAGCAGAGAGATGCATCAGAAGTAGAGCAGTCGGGACTGGAACTGGTGCTCAGGTATGGGATGCTGGCTTTGCAGACAACGGCTTAACCAGCTATCTCACATTGTTGGCTCTGTTTAAATATTTTTGTAATTATTATATTAGGACTTAGTTCTGACATCTCATTTCATAGTCTCGATTTACAGTATATATTTTTTCTTTTTTCTACCATCATACTCATATCTGATATTTTTGGGGGGGTCCTTTTTATATCTTGTTCCTTTTTCAAAAAAATATTTATTTGAAAGCAGAGTGATGCAGAGAGAGGGAGGGAGAGATTTTTCCATCTGCTGGTTCATTCCTTACATGGCCACAAGAGCCAGGTTTGAACCAGGCCAAAGAAGGCAGGAGCCAGGAACTCCATCTGGGTGTCCCATGTGGGTGGCAGGGGTCCCAGTACTTGGGTCATCCTTCTCTGCCTTCCCAGGTGCATTAGGAGAAACCTTGATCAGAAGCAGACTAACTGGGGCTCAAACTGGGGTTGCGATATGGGATGCAGGTGTCCCAAGCAGCTTAACCCACTGTGCTACAGTGCTAGCCCCTTGTTCCTGTTTTATATCCTAATGTTCTCTCTTCTTAAACATATTTAAAACTATTGGTCGTGGGACTTGTGCTTCCGCTGGTCTCCATTATCCACCTCTACTATAGTGCCCAGTGATCCCTGCCTCACACCCTAGGTAATCCCCTCCCACGTGCTAGGGTTGGTCTAAGTGACCAACACACGCAGCAGAAATGATGGCATGTCATTTCCAAGATGAAGTTATAGACAATGTGGCTGCCATCTGGGTTACGGTCTCTGGCCTGCTCGTTTGGATCATGTGTCATGAGCAGCCCCATGGAAGGTGGTAAGGAATGGAAGCCTCGTGCCAGCAGTCCTGTGGGCACAGCACGTTGGAAGCGGGCCCAGGAGCCACATCAAACTCTCAGCGGACTGTAGTCCCGGCCGGCAATTTGACTGAAACCGCAAGAGGAGATCCTGAGTCAAAATCCCCTACTCAGAGGAGCTGCTCCCAGTCCTGACCTTCAGAAACTCTGAGATAAGAAGTCTTTGTTGTTTTAAGCTGCTAAGTCTGAAAGTAACTTGTTTATTCTAAAACTCATTTGTCAGTGCTGGCGCCGTGGCATAGCGGGTCAAGCCGATGCCTACAATGCCAGCAACCTATATGGGCGCTGGCTCAAGTTCTGGCTGCTCCACGTGCCATCCAGCTGTCTGCAAATGCGCCTGGGAAAGCAGCAGCAGATAGCCCAAGTGCTTGGACTCCTGCCACCCATGTTGGAGAACTAGATGGTGTTCTAACCTCCTGGCTTCAGCCTGGCCCAGCCCTGGCCATTGCAGCCATCTGGGGAGAGAACCAGTAGATAACTTTCAAATAAATATTTAAAAAATTTTAATTTGAAAGTCACTATATCTATCACTCACACACACATAAATAAATAAATAAATAAATATATATATATATAGAGAGAGAGAGAGAGAGACAGAGAGACAGAGAGACAGAGTGAGAGAGCGAGCCTCTTCCATTCTCCTCTAGTTCACTCCCCAAATGGCTGCAGTGGCCAGGACTGGGCCAGGCTGAAGCGAGGAGCCTGGAACTCCGTCTTGAGCCATCACCTGCTGCATCCACGGTGAGCATTAGTGGGAAGCTGGAATCGGAAGCAGAGCCAGGACTCAAACCCAGGCCTTGCGATATGGGATGCAGGCATCCCAATTGGCCCCAGAGGTAATTTGTTATACAGCAAGAGATAACCAGCACATCCAGTTTGTTGTCCCCTGGCGGTTGTTAAACTGTCCTAGTATTTCGTCATTTTGGCGGCTGGCGAGCTTGGATCCCTTTGAAGTTGTCAGCTGCTCTGGCTGTTGAAATGTAGAGGCTGAAGGCCATACTCTTATCTGCTCAATTGCCTGCAGTATGAGGGTAGAGGGCTGTGTGGGGAGAGGAACTAGCGGCTGGACAGTCCCGGGTGCCAGAGATGTGCAATTCTCACCCCGCCCCACTCCACAACCAGACAGTCCGCTGGTTGAGGTTAATTTCTCACGCCCTCAGAGGAAGAGAGCTTTAAGAGGGGCGCGGGGTGGGGGTGATTCTGCCTGGTCTGGCTGCCCTGAACTAGCCCCCACCCCACCCCCAACACCCGTACTGGTGGTCTGGGTGGTTTCTGGAGCGAGGCGGCGCACGAGAGCCAAGAGCCAGAACTTACATCTGCTTCTTTTTCCTCCAATTTGCTGTCTCTGGCCACCTGCCCGGAAAACGCACCTGGCTGTAAAGCCAGCCCTCTGTTTGTGCACACGTCTCTCAGAGCTGTGTTTTGTGTTCTGGAGGCCACGTCTCTCCCTGGGCTTTCTCCCGCCTGGCTTGTGCTGGCTGTCATCTCCCAGGGTGTCCAAGTGTGCAAGTCACACAAAGGACTTCTTTGGCCCTTGGAGCTGCCACGCACAGAATGACCCTTCAAATCAAGAGCTCACGAACCACAGCCCCGAACCCCGCGGGGGCCAGCTGGTTCTGACAACAGGAAGATCGCTGATCCTCAGGGGGCCAGACGCCCTGTCTACAGCAATGCTCTCCTGTTCTTCAAGTAATTGAGCCCTCCTCTAGGGAACGGTCCACTTCCCCTTCAGCACTAGGGTGGTGGGAACCTTTGTCGGGTCATCCCCAGCTTTCTATGGCATTCCTGGTGGAGGGGGGAGACAAACAGGAGGATGGCTGCCCCAATGCCCCCTTCCACTCTGGCAGCATTGCTGAATGCAACAGCTGCTGGCTGGGCAGTTGCTCATTCTCTTCTTCTTCTTTTTTTTTTTTTTTTTTTTTTTTGACAGGCAGAGTGGACAGTGAGAGAGAGAGACAGAGAGAAAGGTCTTCTTTTGCTGTTGGTTCACCCTCCAATGGCTGCCGCGGCCGGTGTGCTGCGGCCGGCACATCGCGCTGATCCGAAGGCAGGAGCCAGGTGCTTCTCCTGGTCTCCCATGGGGTGCAGGGCCCAAGCACTTGGGCCATCCTCCACTGCCCTCCCGGGCCACAGCAGAGAGCTGGCCTGGAAGAGGGGCAACCGGGACAGAATCCGGCGCCCCGACCGGGACTAGAACCCGGTGTGCCGGCGCCGCAGGTGGAGGATTAGCCTATTAGGCCACGGCGCCGGCCCTCATTCTCTTCCCAACAAGTAGGCAGCTACTTTTAGGGCCCGAGTTTTGCCAATGCTTGATGCATTTCTCCATTATCAGTGGGATGGAGAAAGCAAATGAATGCCCATGTAAACAGTAGTGGCTGAAATGGTTACACCAGGGGCTGTGAAGCTGGAAACCCAGTTAAGGGCGCAACACATGGCAAGGCTACAGTCCCTCAGCCAGGCTCCCAAGCCAGCGACCCGGGCTGCCAGCATTAGTGCTAGACAAGGTGACAGGTGCATTGCCAGGGGTGGCTCACGCAATGTTCCTCTCAAAGTAGCCCAAGACTTCTCAGTCTCTGTAATACATTACACCCTTTTGTGAGCCAGGAACTGTCGTCTCCTCTGGTGTGTGTGTGTGGGGTGTCTCTCCTGAAAATAGGCATTCATGATATGGCCCCTCACACGTGGACTGATGAGCCAGAGGGCAGACACAGGCTCTCCTCAAGCAGTCTCGGGGTCGGAGCTCAACTTCGAGAACCGATCAGCACCTGCCTTCCCTGCCACTGGGGAAGCAGGACCTATGCTGTGCCAAGGGAAGGATCTTGGTTCCACCAGCTAAAGAGTGCCTGCAGCCTCCACTTCCTGTGGAACTCAGGGACAAGCCAGAGAAATACACAGACTACAGTGAGCTTCCTGTGTGCAAAGTGTAGTTAAAAAGGAAACCACAGAAACAGAAAGAAGAGGCTGTGGCCTCGGGGAGGGGTAGGGGTGGGGGGCGGTGCTGGAGCAGAGCCCAGTACACTCAGACCTGGGCAGAGAGGGCCTAGCTCTCCAACAGGTCAAGGACTGGCAGGCAGGGTGGTGGTGGGGTGGGGTGGGTGGGGTCTCATGTGAAGGCCCTCAGGGCAAAGAATGACCTGGCAGGGTTAATGGGAGGGCTTCAGGGGGCCTGGTCAAGATGGAGCTGTGGCCTCGGCCCCCTCCTCTGAGTCCCACACCTCTGACTGCAGGTAATCAGCAAAAAGCGCCTTGGCCCGGCGCAGCACGCGCCCCAAGTGGTGTTTCCGCACAAGGCGGTCAAAGTGCATGGCCAGCTCGTTGTAATCCAGCCCGTTGCGCATGATGTGGTCACGGTGTTCCAGCAGGATGGCCAGGCAGAGGAAGAGCATGAAGGGGTTCCCTCTGCCGAACTCCTGGGGCGGCGGCAGGCCCCCTGGTGGTGGCGGCGGCGGTGGCGGCAGGGGCTTCCCAGTGTCTTGTGGGGAGCCTACCTCTGGCATGAAAGGGGACCCCATTGCCAAGTCGCCGGTGGGAGAGGCCTCCTGGGTGGAGGGGGGAGACGAGGAAGATGGGGAATCGGGGTGGGAAGAGGAGGAGAGCAGTGGGTCCGGGGAGTTCAGCAAGGGCTCAGAGAGGGATTTGGAGCTGATGAGGGCAGCTGGCGGGGAAAGCTGGACCAGAGGGTCCCTCTGGGCGCCCATATTATCCCTGAGTTGCTGGAGGCCGTCCAGGCTGGCTTGTCTCAGCAGACGGCCCCCGCCGCCACCACTTCTGCCACCAGGGCCCTGGCTGGTGCTGGCCAAGCGGTTGACAGCATCTTCGAAGGCCCCGGCTCCTCCGCCTGCGGGCCTCAGCATGTGCCTCTGCCGCACAGGCCGCCCCCTGTGGCCACCGAAGCCAGGGTCTGCCGCTTGGCTGGGGGGGCCGATGAGCTCCACCTCGTGTTCAGGAGGATCGGGCGGCAGCGAACTCCAGGTGACCTCAAGCATGCGCAGGGCATCGTCGAAGGCAAACTCGCGCTTGAGTTCGAGCAGCAGCCAGCGGTAGCAGAAGAAGAGGTCGTCGGCGCCTGCTTCTTGCAGGTACTGGTAAAAGTCAGGGTCAGCGTGTCGCAGCAGCAGCTTGAGGTGGGCAAACTTGGTGGCCATGGCGCGGCCGTCGGGGTGGAAGTTGGCTGCCAGGCGCTTCATGATGCCACAAAAGCAGACGAAGGCGTGTCCCTCGTGGTCCATGACGGCGAGGATGGGCGAGGCGAGGTCGCTCATGCCCTGGCAGTAGGAGACCTGGGGGTGGGTGACAGCATAGGTGGTGAGCAGGTCGTGCAGCGCCCGCAAGTGCGGGCCGTCTTCGGGCCCCGCGTAGTAGGGGTGGGCCCGGTCGGTGCGCAGCACGTCCTTGAGCACCGTGCTCCGGATGAATTCCAGGTCCTCCGGGCTCGCTCGCTGCGCCCACTCACTCTTGAGCTGCTCATACTCTCGGCTCTTGCGTTTCATGTAGTCCATCCGCTCCCGGCCTGTCAGTCCGTCTGGGTACACGTTCAGCAGGTACCGCCATACCACCTGGCCCAGGAGGAAAGGGATGAGGCCAAAGCTGCCTACCTGCCTGCTCCTTCCCCGCCCCCCACCTCACCCCCACCCCCACCGCCAGCACGGGGGCCTGTGTTCTTCCCACCTCCACCACAACAGGAAGCGGCTTGCTGCCCTGGAGGGCCTCCACCCTGGCCACAAAAGTGTCTGGTGCGCTGTTGACAAGTACAAGCCTCGAGGGGCCAGTGGGTGACTGAGGAAGCTCACCTTCCGTAATGAGGGCTCCACACCACCGTGGTAGATGCGCAGGCGCAATTCCTCGGGGCGGGAGAGCTGGCCCTCGTGATTGAGGTACGTGTGAAACTCGGCATCACTCAGAGGCGGCTTGAAGGGCTTGGCATCTTCCCCATACGACCAGCTCAGCACCTGCTGGACCTTAGACAAGGTGCGGCCCACCTGTGAAGGAAGCAAGGGAGGAGGCCGCTGGTGAGCTGGACAGGCGAGGGGCGCATGCCAAGCAAGGTACGTGCTTAGAATCAGGGGTGCTGGGGAGGCCCCGCCCTCCAGCCCCAGCTGGGCTCCCAGGGTCCCCGCGAGCACCTGAGACAGGATGGACTGGGTAAAGGGCAGGGCAGCTGTCGTCAGCGATGACCGTTTCTCAGCCAGCAGCACATCGGAGCCAATGACATCCTTGGGGCTGATTATGTCCCAGTCTTCCAGCAACGGGCCTAGCCACACACAGGGGAGCACTATGAGAGCAGGGCTGAGACCCTGACCTCAAGGCCTGGTTCCTCTCCTTCGACTGAAGCCAGGCCACTGCAGGGCAATGCACCACTCCCATTCCCTCTTTCCCACATCATCCAAAGCATGCAACAAAATCAAACCATGAGCAATTCTTTTGTGCGACGTGTCTCACAAACAAAATGGCTGGACAGCCTCTAATATTTCAATGATATAAAGTAATGCCCGGGGCAGGCATTTGGTGCAGTGGTTAAGAGAGGCCACTTGGGATGCCTGCATCCAAATCTGTCTGATTTGAGTCCTGGTTACGTTGTCTGATTTAGCTTCCTGTTAATTCACACCTTAGGGGTCATAAGGTGATGGCTCAAGTACTTGGGTTCCCCTGTCAGCTACGTGGGTGAACCAGATATAGCTCTGGGCTCCTGGTTTCAGCCTGGCCCGGCCTTGGCTATTGCGGGCATCTGGGGAGTGTTCCAGCAGAAGGAAGGTCTCTTTCTTTCAATTAAAATGAAAATAAATACATTTTTAAGGAACGCTTAATTGAGCATTTACTATGTGCCAGGCACTGAGATGTGGGCTTAACATTAAGTTAAGAAATAATAACACCAGCTAACACTCCCATGGTGCTAAGTGGCAGGAACTGTTCTGAGCTCTTTGCAAAGATTGACTCATTTAGGATTCACATCAATTCTATCACTGTTTTTTTCTGTGAGGAAATAGGCACAGTCAGGATAAGATACCTGCTCAAGGCCCACAGCTAGTGAATGAATAAACTGAAATTTTGGGGTGGACATTGTGGTGCAGCAAGTTAAGCCGACTCTTGGGGTGACCACATCTCATACTTGAGTGCTGGTTGGGGTTCCAGCTCCTCTGCCTCCAATCCAGCTCCCTGCTAATATGCCTGGGAAGATAGCAGATGATGGCCTGAGTGCTTGGGCCCCTGCCACCCTCATGGGAAACCTGGATGGGGTTCCTGGCTCCTGCCTTTGGCCTGGCCCAATCCTGGCTATGTGCAGGCATGTGGGGAGTGAACCACTGGATGGAAGATCATGCTTTTTCTGCTTGTCTTTCCCTCTTTCTCTCTGTCACTCTGCCTTTCAAATAAATTAGGCAGAGTTACAGAGAGAGAGAAAGAGAGAGAGAGAGAGAGAGAGAGAAAGAGAGAGAAAGATCTTCAATCCATTGGTTTACTCCCTAAATGGCCACAATGGCCGGGGCTGGGCAGGCTGGAACCAGGAGCCAGGAGCTTCTTCTGAGTCTCCCACATGAGTGCAGGGGCCCAGACACTTGGGCCGTCTTCTGTTACTTTCCCAGGTGCATTAGCAAGGAGCTGGATCAGAATTGGAGCAGGCAGGACACGAATCTGCACCCATATGGGATGCTGATATTGCAGGTGGCAACTTAACCTGCTACACCACAGTGCTGGCCCCTGAATGAGTCTTAGAAAACAAAACAAAAACAGAACCAAAATTCAAAGCCCAGGCCCAAAGCTAGACAGCCCAAACTCCTAATATCATATGCACACTGGTTGTCCTCTTACAAACAGCAGACTAACCATTAGCACTCTGGTGTTTCAAATGATGCTAAAAAGGCTTGGAGTAATTAGTAAGTACCAATATTATACAGCCACAAAGTGGTGGGGCTGGGTCAGAACCTCATTTACCTTACAAAGCCCAGGTGTATTTTAGAAAAAAGTATTGGGGCCGGCGCTGTGGCGTAGCGGGTAAGGCCACTGCCTGCAGTGCCAGCATCCCATAGGGCACCGGTTTGAGACCTGGCTGCTCCGCTTCCAATCCAGCTCTCTGCTGTGGCCTGGGAAAGCAGTAGAGGATGGCCCAAGTCCTTGGGCCCCTGCACCCATGTGGGAGACTGGGAAGAAGCTCCTGGCTTCGGATTGGCACAGCTCTGGCCGTTGCGGCCAACTGGGGAATGAACCAGCGGATGGAAGACCTCTCTCTCTGTCTTTCTCTCTCTCTCTCTCTCTGTGTTTCCTTCTCTCTCTGTGTAACTCTTTCAAGAAAATAAATAAATCTTAAAAAAAAAAGTAGCTATGGAATAGGAATGCTGTGTACATGAGACAAACAAAACCGTGCCATGCTTGACTTGCTCCTGTTGTCCTGGAAACAGGAGCAGAAATTGGTTCCTTATCTCTTCCCCCACCATCCTTTCCACCTCAGATGTGACCCGGTGACTTAAGCAGCGGTGGCCACCTACGGGTAAGTTGGAGAAATGTCAGCCTTGATGCCACCAGAGGAGGACCATCCAGGGGTCAACTTGCAAACTCTATCATACGAAATTACTCAGTTTCTACTGGTAAGCCACTGTCACCGGCAGGCGAATGCTATGCCTAGGGCTGGCATTGGGGCATAGCTGGTTGGGCCGCCACCTGCAGTGCCAGCATCCCATGTGGGGGCTGGTTCGAGTCCTGGTTGCCCCACTTCTGATCCGGCTCCCTGCTGATGCATCTGGGAGAGCAGCTGAGAATGGCCCAGGTGCTTGGGCCCCTCCCATCCATGTGGGAAACCTGGACAAAGCTCCTAGCTCCTGGCTTTGGATGGGCCCAGCATGGCCATTTGGGGAGTGAACCAGTGGATGGAGAATTTCTTCTCTTTATCTCTCCTCTCTCTCTCTCTCTCTGTCTCTGTAACTCTGCCTCTCAAATAAAAATGATTAAATCTTTTAAAGAAATGCTATGCCTAAGCAGTTCTGCCATGGAGTCCGCTATACTTGCTCCCACATTGCTGAAGGGTAAACAAACCCTTGGTCATGTACGGATGGACTGATGCACCCTGGATGTCTCACAGGGGCACTGCAAACCATAAAGTGTCCAAAAGCAGAGCTCGAGACCCGCCCCAGACATGGCCTCCTTCTTTGTTCCTCATCACACTGAACAGCATCCTTACCTGCTCAGCTGCTTAAGCCTGAAACCCAGGAGACAGCCTTGTCCCTGCCATCCTCCAATTCCCTGGAGTCAGCCACCACCACGCCCTGTGGTGCCTGTGTGCAAAAGTGACTTCTTCTTTCATCTCCACCCATGTGAGCCACCACCTCTCTCACCTGCAACTGCCTCCTAATGGGTCCCTGCTTCCTCTTGGTTCCGTTCCACTCTCCCAACAGCTACTTAAGTGTTCTTTCTAAAACACTTAATAGGTGACACAAAGAAGGTCATATGACTTGAAAATCAAGCTAGGGGCTGGCATTGTAGAGCAGCAGGTTAAACCACGGTATGTGATGCTGGCATCTCATGTGGGTGCCAGTTTGAGTCCCGGCAGCTCCATTTCTAATCCAGCACCTTGCTAATGTGCCTGGGAAGGCAACAGATGATGGCCTAAATACTTGAGCTCCTGTCACCCATGTGGGAGACTTGGAAGAAGTTCCTGGCTCCTGACTTCAGCCTGGCCCAGACCTGGTCATTGTGGCCATTTGGGGAATGAACCAACTGGTGGAAAATCTCTCTCTCTGTTTCTCCCTCTCTGGCTCTGTAACTCTGCCTTTCAAATAAATAAATTAATCCTTTAAAAAAAAACTCTGCAAAAAGAAAAGAAAAAAGAAAATCAAACTATGGTTTGGAGGATCAAATAGAAGAACCACTTCAAGACTGGGGCTGGTACAATAAAGCAGGTGCTGGTAACTCATATGGGCGCTGGTTCGAATCCTGGCTGCTCCACTTCTGATCCAGCTCTGTGCTAATGCACCTGAGAGAACAGTGGGTGATGGCCCAAGTGCTTGGGCCCCTGCACCCAAGTGGAGACCTGGAAGAAGCTCCTGGCTCCTGGCTTCAGCCTGGTCCAGCCCTAGCTATTGTGGCCATTTGGGGATGAACCAGTGGATGGAAGATATCTCTCTCTCTCTCTCTCTGCAACTCTGCTTTCCAAATAAACAAATAAATATTTTTTTAAAAAAGAGGGAAATTAAAAAAGAAAAAAAGACATAGAGCTAGGGCTTAATGATTTGGGTGAAAAGGTAGAAAGAGCTGGAGGGGCTGGTGCTATGGCATAGCAGGTAAAACCACTGCCTGCAGTGCCAGCATCCCAAATGGGCGCTGGTTCGAGACCTGGCTGCTCCACTTCCAATCCAGCTCTCTGCTATGACCTGAGAAAGCAGTAAAAGATGGTCCAAGTCCTTGGGCCCCTGCACCTGCATGGGGTACCTGGAAGAAGCTCCTGGCTTCGGATTGCTGCAGCTCTGACCACTGCGGCCAACTGGGGAGTGAACCAGTGGATGGAAGACCTCTCTCTCTCTCTTTGTGTAACTCTGACTTTCAAATAAATAAATAAATCTTTAAAAAAAAAAAGAAAAAAAGAGCTGGAGGCCATGTCCAGGTGACCTAATGTGCAGCGTTAGGAAATGCAAGAGGAGAAAAGGGATCCAATGGAGATACTGATGGTAGGATTAAACAGGAAACAGTTATGAAGGAAAATTTCCCTGAGACAAAACAGCTCATCAAGTCTTAGATGGGATTAATGAACAAACAACGTGTACAACGGGCTTCCCCCACCCCTACTCAGGTGCTGAGTCAAAATACCCAAATTCTAGGAATGAAAAAAATATTCTTGCTAGCTTCTAAGGACAAAGGACAGACTGCTAACAACAGGAAGGCCGGACTGGCAATGGACTTGTGCTCCACAGCTCTGGGCACGAGAAGATGGTGGCTTTGTGGCACTGAGAAGCCAGGCCTAAGATCCAAGGGCCCCATACCCAGCCAAGAGGGCACAAATCTGACCAAAGAAAAGATGGTTGGGGCCATCAGAATGTATTCAACTCACGTACCCTAGTGGAGGAGAACAGAGGTGCTCTCTGAGCAAATGGCTACTGAATGAATCCAGGGGCTCCAGAGCCGGGCAGGCAAGGGAGAGGGTAAAATGATAGTGGGCCGTGAGTTAGCAGCTGCGTGCCGCACAGCGCTGTCTGGGTCCATGATGGACTGTCGATACTACCTACGATGGTCCCACAAGATGATAATGAAGCGGAATCATTCCTATTGCCT